AAGAAAATGTACACGCGCCTCTTCGCGGAATGCGTGGTGGCAATCCCCGACCTTCAAAACCTCATGGTGGACGTCAACAATATCCAGGCCATGATCACGATCATACGGGAGCTCGTGTATTCAAGGCTGAAGAAGGAGCTTTCTCACGTGGGATTCGTGAGCATGACTGTGGATCAAGCAGCGCAGTTCTACAACAACGGTCACGGGAAGCAATTGTGCGCATCCCGGGATGTGATCGTGTGCAAGAATTCCGAGGGAGTCGAGGAGAGGATGTCCATCTTCTTGATAGGCAAGGATCTTGGCAATGTGGCATATTCGTCCTGGATCAAGAGTGTGCTCGACCAAGGAACGATGTATGAACTCCTGGGACAAACCACGAACGAGGAATCCTTGGGAGACGTCGTCGAGATGGTGTTGGGATTCTTTGAGGTGATGTCGTACTTCCAGCACGAACTGCCACTGTGGAAGGATGCATGGAAGATCAAGAGGGAGTTCGAGCAGTCAATAGTGCGACACCTCGCTGGGAACGTGACCCACACGACGGGCCAGAACAGAAAGCGGAACAGACCGTCCGCACAGCTCGGCGTGCCCACGAAGGAGGTGCTTGACATCATGAACAAGGTCAAGCCCAGACATCCACGATCCCTGATCACCGAGCCCTCTGCACAAGGTTCCAAGAGAAAGGCCACGGAGGGCGAAGATGAGGGTCTTGGTCAAGCACCAGACCCGAGTCGAAGTTCTCAAACCAATACTGAGAAGGAAGACAAGAAGCAGCGAGTGATCGACGGGCGGAGAGCGGCACTAGGATTCCTGGAGTCAATGGAGAAGTGCATGGGAGATATGGGGATCTGTAAGAAGTGCGCGAACCTGGCCCACGACGGCGACTGCAAGGACATTGAGGAGGCTGCTGGAAATGAGAAGGCGATGAAGGTGCTCCGTGAGCTACTCAGCAGTGACCCTGTTTCATCTGATGAAGACATGGGGGATACGGAGGAACCGTCCTCATCAACGTCCAAGGAAAGAAAGAAAGGGGGACAAGCAGGGAAAGAAACAATTGAGATGTACAGCTACACTATTAATTTGGTGGAGATGGCTGACACGGCTGAGGGAGGAGAGCTACAATGTGGTGGCGTCGACCTCACCTACAACCCGTGCGGGGACAACAGGACATTCAAGAAGACGCTTGAGATGGGATGCGACACCATCCCGTGCTACATCCCGAAGTATGGCGATGTGAGTGATGTGCACTTGCCATGGGCGTATGCGTCCATCGTTGACCCCAAATACTTTCCCAAAGGTGCAATCCTTGAGCAAGTGGACGTGATGCAACTTGGCAAGAGTGTCAACTTCTGCATTGCTCCTTTCGACGGTGCTCCACTATGCAGGATTGGTGATGATCGCTCGGTATTTACTACAAGGGACCAAGCAAACCAGCTATCTCACGACCTATGCAGAGTCCTTCGACACAAGATCGGCAATTGCCGAGGAAGTGCTTTCAGGTGCGACGAGGGTGGATGGGTCGACATTGATGCTGTCATTGACGACCGGAACAACGACATATTCCCACCATACACCACGAGAGCGAAACGATACATGGGCATCATGGAGGTGATCAAGTGGCAGGAATCCGGAAGCAGAAAATCGAGATTCCAGGTTTTGGCAGCAAGGTTTCCGAGCATCATGAACCCGAACGACACGAGGGCAGCCAGGGAGGAAATGACCGAAGCTGGCGTGGATCGGGACGACATCGACAGGATGTTCAACAGATGCGATGGATGGTACAGACCTTGGTGCATCCGAGTCACAACCGGTCACAGTGATTTTGGATTCATGAGCTCATCCGCACTGGCGAATAGGTATTCCGCAAGAATGGGTGATTCTCTCGGAGGAGCATTCCATGTGACGTATGTGGAAAACCTGCCAAGCATCGTACGCTGTGGGTTAGTCCCCGGCGGAATCGATGGCGGCAACAGGCTAGCACTGCACTTCGGGGCGTTTGCTCCATGGGATGAGATGAACGTGGCGACGAAGACAACGCTACGGAACGTGAGGAGAGGGGATCCGATTGCGATCATCTATATTCCCAGTGCAACCCTCGCGCGGTATGGGGCTGGAGTCGCGGCTAATGGGACTTTCATGGTCTTTGACGTGATCCCGTTCTATGAGGTCAAGTCCATTTGGATTGGCAAAAGCAACGGAGGGAAGCGCCTGGAGTACGCTGACATCAAGAGGGCGTACTCGAAGTGTGTGGAGAACGAGATCTGCCCTGGCTTTGTCAACTCTTCCCAAGAGTCGGCTGCGATGTTCCTCCAGAACGTCGCAAAGATCAGCGAGAGGATGCCGGAGACTGAGACAGGTGCCGATAATCTGCACTACATCGTTGACATGGTTAATCGTGCCTGCGAACTCTATCGAATCAACAAGATGGAAGAGTTCAATGCACAGGTCAACGAGGTCCGGGACGAAATCAGCAAAGTCGTCATCCTGAATGACGAGACATGGGAAGGACTGAGGTGCCGGATATGTCCATCATGTGCGACCGCGATCCCCACCTGCTTCTGCTTATGCCTGGAGTGCGAGGCACAACTGATCTCCATCGGAAGATACTACATTCACATCAAATCCGATGACGAGGAGGACAACCAAAACCCCAACGTCTCTGGAGATGCCAGGCGTGCACAGGAAGAAGCTAACCACGATGCGGCAGCACAGGAGGATGAAGACGAAGCGGAGGAAGTTCCGGGAGAAGATGACGACATGGACACGCAAGGATATACATCCGGCTATGCGTCAGAAGAAGAAGACAGCGGTTGGCATTACCGCGACACCGATCTGGCGTCACGGGACATTATAAGTTCCCAACGGATGGCGATCTGCCTTGACGAGCCGCGTGAGGCTCAGTACATGGCAGGATTTATCGCACTCCAGATGTCCAAGATGTGGGGGATGTTCGAGGGTGGTGAGGAGAGAACGATGAATGCCAAGCTCGAGGGGAGAGAGGGCTGCCCTTACCACAATGATTTCAAGAGGTACCCCAACATCACTGAGCACGATCAGGAAGGTATACTATTGCCATCAACAACAACGAAGATTTCTCAGTCGGAGAATGTTCGGACAAGAGCCTTCCGATCGGTTGAGGAGCGTGACGAATATATTCGTATGATGGTGTGCAAATGCGAGGGACTTTACACATTCTACAAGCTGTGGATTGCAGCGAGAATCCTCGATGTCACCAAGGAAGAAATGAAGCTCCTGGTCAAGGACCGAGTGCACCCGGTGGGTGATATTATTTTCAGATGTTTTGCACTAGCTTTCAACTGTAAGTATATATCATTCGTGAGGGATGGCCTGAACCTTGGCAAACATGGTTACACGGTCAACGTGAGCGCCATCATCTCGGCCGTCGACCCGAACAAATGCGACACACCCCTGCTGGATTGGTGCCTTCGGAAAGGGCACTGGTTGCCAGAGGACTACAACAAGAAGTGTGTCCGGGCACGAGAAGCCCAGAAGAACTTGGACGAGGAGTTCCGTCGACGCACTCACAGACTGTCCATTGGGGACCGGTATGCGTAGTGAAGATGCTGATTGCGGCACGATGTGGGTTAGTCCCCATCTGTTGCTTGCGTCTCATCAACACCATTGCGACGGAACGACTTACATTATGATATGATTTCATATATCCAAGTTGAATGGATGTGTACATGGTTACATATTCCGATGACTATGACGCTCTGGATATTCATGGATGGAACTATTACCTTATAGATGATATCTTTTCATTATTTATGCATTGTCCATGGTATCTGGAATGGCTATGATTTGCATTGATTACTCACCGATGTTTCTTTGCCGGAGATATGCAGACCGATCACAAGCGGGCGCGTCTGGTGGACTTTTGTGGCCAACCCATTTATGGATGACAGCTGCGCGATGCGCAAATGCGGCAGCTGGAATGTTCACTGGCGGTCAAGTGAAGTGGCCACAGTGTATTATATACACCTGCATATGGATGTGTGCTTCGATTGGAGGATGAATGTTTCACTTTTCGTACAATCGAACCCGGCATGTTTCACAGCGAATGAACGGTGTAGTGATAGCAAGTAAAAGAATGCACGACACGATTTCGTAGTTGAAGCCGTGGCCAGTGGAACGTTTTGTGGTGTTTGGACCGCATGATGAACAATGCGACCCAAATGGGGGATGTTAAAACCCTCTAGGCCCCGTGCCGAAATTGGGTAGCTGTTCTGAGGTCCTTGTTGGTGTTGCTTCCCAAGTTCCATTGATCGCCATTTGGCTCAAGACACAATTGAGGTTCAAGATCTGATGTGTGACTGCATACCTACGTGATCGGCATTAAGAGCGAAAACAACTGCTTGCGCTGCATTTGTCAGGACCACTGTTGTAACTATCATTCCTTCTCCCTTACAACGTTTACACGGGTTCGGCTATATCGGCATCGTCCGTATACACCTTTCTACGTGGTTGGTATTACAGCTTGAGGGTTCGGTGCATAGCGTCCCACGGGACGTCACCTTGCCGTCTCTTGACATATATATAGCTGTATTCTTTCGGTGAGCGATTTACAGAGGCAAACCTTGTGTCGTCTCGCAAGAATGCTGAAGCCTAAGCTCCCCGGAAGCCTGGGTTGAAACCAGCTTTGTCTTCAGACCAGCCACGAAACAAAAGGCACAAAAGCTATATATATATATATATCTTGATTGCTATTGGGTTGGACCTTTAGACTTTAAACATTTTTGGATAATAAATGTGTTTTCCACTAACCCCCGCAAAAGTTAAACTTTTTGCAGGGGGGTCAACAGCAACCAAGATATATATGTATATATATATATATATGTATAAACATTAAACGGTTTCCGAAGAAAAAGAAGAAGAACAAACACAAGAAACAAACAAGGAACAACAAACCAAACAACCAACACGGAACATGCAGAGATGCACGAAACAGAAGGAGCCAACACGAGCCCAGCTCCGCTGAGGTGCGCCGCTCCAGGGAGGCCTCGGTCTCCCAGCGCCTGGTGCTGGAGCGGTCCGCCGTTTTTGGGTGGCGTTTGGGCGGTGTTCCCCTCAATTGGTGGCTTTTGTGGAGGGTACATGGGACACCTCGTCGTTTGGGATTTGGGATTTGAAGAGGTCCCTGGAATTTTGAGAGGGTAAATGGGATCTCCCTGAAATCCATTTTGGAGGTCGTTTCGGGGCACTCAACAAGGTTCGCGAAGGGATTTCCCCAAATCGAAGGTTGATCAACTTGGTGGAGGTTTCCATTGCAAACAATCGCCACGTTTGGCAAGGGGACCCCACTGTTTGACGAATTCATGGACTTTTGGGGGGAATGAACCATTGGGATTAAAGTCTACCCTGGGGTGGGCAAAAAGTAACCCTGTTCGGCGGTGGTTTCCGTTTGGGCGTCCCTGCCAATAGCCCGGTTTGGAGGCGGTTTCAACCCATCCCTCTACAACTTGCGTCACTTGCTCAAAACCTGGGTAGTTGGAGGGTAGTAAGGGACACTCCCAACCATAAATGGGTGCAGCCGCTTTTTCAATTCTTGAAGCATGGTTCTGGGTAGACCATGTACTACCAGGTTTTGAATATGTCGCACTTGGGGGTCAAGTTCTCAAACCACACATATAGGAAATGAGCGCACTTGGTTGCAACGGACTTGATTCGATGCGATTCCATTTCTTTCGAATTCGATTCAAGCTGGACAGTCGTTCCTCAGTGCGACTTGTTTACTTGCCCGTGCTACACGCATATACACGCATCCCACCGGATCAAACCATGGTCATAGAAACCGGCAGGATACTCAAAAAGTTGGCCAAGTACCCAACCATGGCAACAGGGCAGAAAGATGGGGAAGAAAAAAACAACACAGGGACACTTGGCAAGTTACGAGACCCCTCTCCCAGCGATCTAGCAGCAATCGCCCATCATACCGTGATGGGAGAGTTTGGTGTGGCGCCCAAGGCCGTTCCATGAAGGCACCCTTTCTAGGTCCCCCAGTAGTGCCCTTTTACCTTTTTTTTTGGGGAGGGTTCCCCTACTAAAAAGACTGCAGAAGAAGAAATACCCTTATTCTAACCTCTCGACCTAGCTTTGGACGGCACTTTGGTTGCCCCGTTTTTCCCAGGTCCGATTTGTTGCCCCGCGCCGGGGGGCGGGGGGGGTCGGGGCTTCTATGGACGCAGGAGATGGAGACCATCGCCTTCGTCTCCTCCGCGCCTGCGATGTGATTTTTTGGGGGCTGAGGCTATGGGAATTGTGGGGTTGGCTAAAATGGGTCTCTGTTTCTAAGAAACCACCAGAAGTGGTGTGGGTTGTTTTTTCCTGTTGGCTTCCCCCTTTGAAGCCAAGCAAAGAAGGGGTAGCCTCAACAAAATCCCAAGCCACCCAGAGAGCGATGGCGACCTTACGGTGGACAGCATCCTTGTTGGAGGTTCCCTCGCCAAATACCCTGGGTTCAAAGTCAATCTTGATGAGGGAACCCCACAAAACCTATAAAACCGATACGAAGAAGGTGGAGTGGTGGGGCGGTTTCTTGTCTTACAAGAAGGCCAAAGGCCAGAGAGAAACCACGTTCCAAAAGGGCGGCAAGCCCCGGATGCACCCAGAAAAGTTTGTCTTTGTTGGCGGCTACTCTATTTTTGTTGATTTTAAAGGGAAAGGGGCAACCCACCAGTTTGGGAGGCCCCCATGTCAAGACACACCCATATTGTACTCCGAAGGAGCATTCGCCATATGGCTCGCTCTGCACATCCGAGGTGGTGCTGGATGTCTTGCCTCCGCCTGATCCAGATGGAGGCGTGCAGGGACAATTTCAAGCTGGCCACCGGTGAGAAGAGTCTCCAGACTCGAGTGGAAGTCTTGTAATGTTGACCCCGGATTAATAATAAACCCCTGTTTGTTAATATGGGGGTGTTCCTCTCCAAAAGTGATGAATCCCCACTAAAACAGAGGAGACACCCCTACTAATCAACCAGGGGTTTATTATTCCGGGATTAACATTACCTCCCTTCCTTCGTAAGCGGACTTCGCGCTGGGCACTGCCATCGCTGGCTTCCAAAGACAGTCCATGTGCTTGTCGCGTCCATTTGGAACCCATTCGCGGCCATTGAACGGCAGGTTGGGACATGAGTGTTTCTCAAACTAGATGTGCATTTCATCGCATGGCAACGGTGTCCTTTCGATTTCCCGTCAACTCCCAACGAGGTCATTTTTCTCTAACTGGATGCCAGTTCCTACAGTATCGACAACATGCAGGAGCGGAGTGTGATTGATTCAGAGGCATCCAAGATGCGAAGGTTATGCCTAGTGGTTTTTCGCCCAGCGCGATTAGTCATGTACCCGGCACACTATGGGGGGGTAATCAGTGGAAAGGGGTTAATAAGGGAGAGCCCCTCCCATCACCTTTCTAGGGGGTCCATCAATTATTCCCTGCAACGGCTCCCCTTCTGGTGACCTAGCGGTAGCTCAATTTTCTGGGCACAGCACGGCCCAACGGGCAGACCCGGGCGCGAGGCCTTTGGAGCACTGAGATCAGCGTGGAGGGGGCCAACTCGGAGCAGCGCCAGGGCTTGCGCCTCGGCCGGGTTCTTGGGGCCCTCGGAGGGTCTGGGGGTCAGGTTTTTCCCGAAAAAATCAGAAAGGAAGGTCTCAACAGCCACCCATTTTCTTGCCGGTGCGATGGGCATTGAATGAGGGAATGTCCTTAGAAACCATCCAGCTGGTGGTTTCGAAAGGGGAATGCCTGGGTTTGTCCCACATTCCCTACCTATCGCAGCAGCAAGTTTTGGGGGAGGAGGGAGGGGCCACCCAGTTTTTGGGGATCTCCCGGGAGACCGATGAAGGGTTCACATGGCCAGAATTTACCGAAGATTTGCTGGGTTTTAGGGCCCGCGGAAGAAGGGAGCCGCGCAATGGAACCTGCAGCAGGGAAAACAAATAGTGGGGGGAGGGGAGAGACAGGGGGTCATGCCTTTTTCCTTTTTTTTTGCGCAGGCGGCTATTCCCAAGCGAGGTTTCTCGTGGTAGACCGAGCAATCGTTCAAAGTAGAGGAGCCCTTCCAGTGGATGAATTACCAGAAAAAAGCAACCCTTGATCTTGGATAGGACATCCACGTTTGACACTCAATGTTGACCCCATAATAGTCAACCGGTGTTCCCCTCCACAAGTGACGATTCCTCGCTAAACGCAGAGATGGACACCCCCCTATTGATAAACTGGGGTGCATTATTACGGGGCCAACAATAAGTGGCAAACGTGGATGATGGTTGGAGGTGTCAGTTTTGAGCGTCGCCTTTGGTGGGAAGACAACCGGAACCCGATGTGTTTGATTCCGATTTCCAAACAAGCCTTGGTCCTGATCACTGGGCACCCAAATTGAATCCCGCATTTGGGTCCTTCTTTTGGAGAGGAACCATCATGTAAAAAACTACCCCCGTTCCAATAATCATAGAAGTGGGTTTTGGGAGGTTCGGGACCCTCCAAACCTTGGCGTGGTCAGCTTGCATGATTGGAGGGAGGGTAAAGGTACAAGCCCCTGGTTATCTGCGAGGGTGTTGGCAGGCACTGAGCACTCTCAACCTCTTATCTCAACTTCTGTCACGCTGGAAACTCCAGGGGAAAAGAAGCCATGACGTAAAACCTCAAGGTTAATACTTGCTGGTGCTCAGCAGGGAATGAGGGAATGCCCCTTACAAACCATCTCTTGTGGTTTCCTTTAAGGGGACCCTTGGGTTCATCCCCTACTGAGCGCCAGCATTTTTAGTGTCCCCTAAAAATGGCTTTGGTTTTTCCTTTGGCTTCCCCCTTTGAAACCAACCCCAAAAAGGCATCAACTCTTCCATTTGTTGAAATACATATTTTTTGTTTTCCCTTGGGGTTTAAGGGAACCGATTTCACTTCTGGACATATTTGCGCATTTTCCCAGGCGAAAACGCAAATGGAGCTCACATTGGGGTGTAACCCTCCAATCCCACCAAGGGGGGCTGTCAAAAGTGGGGCTGTCACCAAGTACCAACTCATAAAAAAGGCGATCTTTCATGGTGCTCATGACCGCTCAGACTCAAGCGGTAAAAAACATAAAGCCAGCGCAAAGTTCGTTTCCCCAAAAAAGGCTGCTTGGATGTTCGGCCAAGCTAGTAAGTGGTTAGCCAATCGGGGTCTAACCTCCTAATAACAAGGTTAACCCCACATTCACGGGGGACTTACAAGTGGGTTATCACCGAACGGTTACCAACAACTTACTAACTTGGCGAATCGAAGACCCAAGTATGTTCCCTTGCTTAGGCTTGACTTTTGTTTGTTGGGGTGAACCCCTGCTTGGCTTGAAAGGGACACCAACCCGGAAAGCCATCCTTTTTTTCGGCCAACAACAAAAACCCAAGCCGACCCCCCAAAATTGCCAATAAGCAAGCACTAAACTCTCTAGACACCAGATGAACTCAGCCAAGCTCCCCAGCTGTTATTCCGGGGACCCATCGGAAAGCCATCATTATTTTTTTTCGGGGGTCGAAGACCCAAGTGGCTATGGGTCAAAACCCCGTACCCCCCAGTGAACATCCCAATCCAACCACTACAATAGGTTCTAACATGGGCGGTGAATTCACCTACCCACCAACATGGGATCCCGTTTAACGGCTTCTTGACAACCACGGCCAAGTCTCCCCCCCCGCAAGAATCACCGCGAGAGCGCGCGCGCGCGCGCGTTGAGGCGGGCGCTGCTGGACCTGGCGCTGCTCTACGCGCACTGCTGGCAGGGCCTGGAGGCCGCGGAGCGCGGCGCGGAGTCGGAGCGGTGCCTGGCGGCGGCCAAGCTGCTCTGCGCCGCGGATTTTGGGGATGGAGATGGGGGATTTTGGGGGGAAGGGCTGAAGTTTTTGTGTGTGTGTTTTTTTTTTGGGGGGGGGAGGGGGGTTGGGGCGGAAAATTGATTTTCTTTTTTGTGGGGGGTTGGGGTGGGGGGTTTGGGAGGTTGGGGTGTTTGGGAGCTGAGGGGTTGGGAGGTTGGGTTGGGGGGTTGGGTTGGGGTGTTTGTTGGGTTGGGGGGTTGCGATGGGGGGGTTGGTGATGGACAAGTTGATTTTCTCATTGAGAGCCACGTTCATTGACAGGTTGACACTGTTGCTGAATGGGGGGTTGGGATGCGTCGATGCGCGGACGAAAGAAATAGGTTGGGGCGGTGGGGGGTGTTGGCATGGGGGGTCGATGAGTGCACGAAATAAATTCCTTGCACCATGACACAGACAGGGTTCCGCATATTTTTGCCTTTGAACATGCCCCCACCGAAGAGGAGCGCGATCCATGTCGGCCCACAAGATCATGTTCCAACATTTGTGCGGACCCATGGAACTTCGTGGTTTTGCTTTTGTTTCTCTGTACAACCCCAACACTTTCTGGTGCTCAGTAGGGAATGACCCAGTAGTGGTAGGAATGCACCTAGGGATTCCCTTAAAGGAAGCCGGGGATGGTTCAAAGGAGTCATTCTATTTCTCATTCCCTGCTGAGAATCCGCAAGACAAAGAGGGGACCCTCAAGACACCCAGGTTCTGTTGACCATACTAATCAACCCCTATTAGTTACAGGGGGGGGTGTCTCTGGGTGGAATGTGGGGAATGAGGGGAACACCCTATTAATAAACTGGTTGGTTGATTAATACTGTGGACGGACGAAATCCTGCACCACCCAAGAAAACCCTGGAATGATGATTCCCCTGTAAATACCATCCATGATTTCAAAGTGGTGCGAAATCGATTTCGTCCATCCACAGGATTAATCAACCAACCAGTTTATTCATAGGGGGCTGTCCATCTGACCACTTTTGGAGGGGCCACTGGGGTTTGACCAATAATGTTAACCCCAGATTTATAATGAACCCCTGGTTGATTTTCATCGGGGGGTGTCCAATTCCTTTTAGTGGGGATTCAGACCACTTTTGGAGGGACCACCCTCTTAAATTATTTCTCCTGGGTCAACAACCTTACCGCAACCGCCCCAACTCTTTTGGGCTGAGGCGCCTTCGATGCCCTGCTGCGGCGCCGCGGCGGCTCGGTGCTGGCGGCGCCTCGATCGGGCGGGAGCTCGATTTGGCCCCGTGCGGGACCCGTTTTGTTCCATGGAAAAACAAGGGTTTCTCCAACCAAAGGGACAACAAGCATGGAAACACCACTATTTGTTTGTTCCATAGCTTGACTGCTATTGGGTTGGATCGTTGGACTTTAACGTTTGGGTTGAAATCAAGGGGTGTTCCGGTATATAAACTCCTAAAAGTTAAACTTTTTGCAGGGGGGTCGTTCCAGCAACCAAGACAGAAATCATGGGTTTCTCCAACCAAAGGGACAACAGACAACAAGCACGGAAACCACATGTTGTTTCCACTCAAGAAAGCTCGGATTGTTTTCCAGCCAAGCAAGGGAAAGCACAAAGCGGGAAAAACGGAAAAACAAGTGACACCACCATAAGGTTTTCCCAGCTGCACGGCTATTTTTGGTCTCTGCCCCGGGCTCAGTGTTTTGGAGCTCCGGGCTTGCCGGAGCCTTCCTCGCCGCCGTTGTGTCGAAGCAAACCAACAAGCATCCTACAAGTGCGGGGCCCGGTGAAGATGTGGGAGAAAAGTCAAGGCGTTGCCAAAGCTTAGGGCAGTATATATATATATATATACATATGCACTACCATAATGGATATTGCACAACGAGGGTGCCCTCCCAAACAAATGACCCAAAATGGGTTCATGGCCCAATTTATAACCCAACACCGATGGTTGCCTTTGGGTTTCCCTACAACAACAAAGAACAAAACCAAATGGACAATAAAATTGGGTGTTTTCTTTTGGCTTCCCTAACCAAAGCCCAAAAACAACACGCCACATGGCTACCCCACATGGGTGTTCCCTACAAACACCAAACAACCACGCCACACAATGGATACCCAACATGGGCATTCCCTCTTAAAAAAAAAAAAAAAACGCCACACGATGGGCCGCCCTCCAAAAGCCACGCCACGCTTCCCACGCTGCCCACCCCAGCGACGAGGAGTTGCTCTTTGAGGAGTCCTGCTCGGTGCACCTGGGCCTCTGCGGGGACCAAAGGACCTTTGGTTTCCGTCGGAGCGAATCGGGATGTGGGTGCTTTGTTTTGAGTAAGTTGCCATTGCTGGCGGAGGTTTCCGTTTCTGGGAGTTTCAGGAGGGAAAACGATTTCAAGATGTCAACCTTATCTCCGGGTCCCCCACCTTTCCCGGCCGCTTTTGGTTTCCCAGTCCTGTTTCCCTTTCTCCGGTTCCGTTTTTCGGTAATTTCGTCGACCAGAAAGAGGGCGTCCTCTGTTTACAGGGCCAGAGCCACGAGTCAAGTTGGATGGAGGGTTCCCCTTGTGAGAAGTTCTAAAGGCCAACACCTTGGTACTTGGCGAGTTGCTTCTTTTCTTCCCGGGTTCTCAGAATTTCCCCTGAAAGGTGGCTTGCACATCACCTTTTCGCCCCAAGGTGAGTTTTCGTTGGGGGAGGTTAGCAGACATATGGCCAAATACATATCACACCATTTTTGTATTTCTCAACATGGAACACTTGGATAGGGTCCCCATATGCGAGAAACCCACACGCGTGCCTTTGTTTCAGGGTACCCGCTTTTGTGGCTTGAAAGGAACGCCAAAAGGAGAACCGAAAAAACACAAACGGACAATGTATACATATATATATATATACATATCATATATCAGATATCATGTATGTACATATATACATGTACTATCATGTTATATTGTATTGCACTATGTTATGTATATGGCATTATATTATATTCCATTATTATATTATATAGGAAGCCCCGGCTTCTTGGAACCAGGAGCCTGGAGACCGTGCTGCAGCGACTGGAGCTTTTGGAGCCCCGGTGGCTGCTGCAGCGCCCCTTGGGACCGGATTTCGCTTTCGAATTCGGCGCCGTTTCGACGCTCCTTGGAACTTCAAGTTTTATAAAATGTTTGGGGTCAGCATTTTCTGGGTTGTCGGTGAACAGCGACTCGGAATCAAACTGTGGATGGCCAAACCCACTTCGCAGCAGTTCAGCAGTTGGTGGTTTATCCCATCTACAGGGCACAGTAGCGGGAGGGTAACTGGAGGATGAACAAACTGAAGGGACCATTTGTCAGGTGAAAAGGCTGGACAATGGAACATGGCCATGGGTCAAAATCCCGCACCCCCAGTGAACATCCCAACATCCACTAAAATAGACCAAAATGGGTGGTGCACCTACCCGAAAATGGGATCCCATTAGTTTTGACGTGAAGTAACCGTTTTGGCAGAATTATGGTGGATGCTCGGCAGCCAGGGTGCACTGAACATGTCCGCCAAAGCAACAGTTCTTGTACAATGTTCGAAGTCCGCCCTAAGTGGTAGGTAGGGAATCAAGCCCACTTTCTGACATCAAACTTTGAGACCCTCAAAAAACCGTCAAACATCCTACCAGTAAGAGCGAGCGCGCTCCGAACCCAGGCTAAAAAGAACGGGTGCCCGAGCCTCATACACCCATGGCCGATGGTGGTGTGTGTGTGTGTTTTTGCTTTTTCCCACAAACCGGTTGCTCAATGATCAGGTTCCTACCGGGCCTCCAGTGTGAAGAACTTCAGGAAAGAAACATCCGAAAAGCCAGCAATTGAATCCCAGCTTTTGCTTTGGGGGACATGTTCAGTCTTTTCCTGCCTTCCGAGCAGCCCGTGAAGCCGGGAGGTCAGCTTGTTGCTTTCCCCAGCGAAAAGAACAAAAAGCGTCCAGCGTCTTCGGCCGAGGCCGGGGGGTGCTGCGGTACCTGGCCGCCAGGGAGCGGGGCTGCCAGCGGCGGATCTTCGAGCTGCGGCAGCTGGGCACGGCCTTCGAGGTGAGACGGCGAGCGAGCGAGCGAGCGAGGTGTGGGGAGGAGTGGGGAGGTACTCAAAGTCGAAGGAAGGTTGGTGGCAGTGCTTTCTGAAGTTCGCGCAGGATTCGGGGAGCTTCGGTGCTGGCAAAAACCAGAGCCACCATCAGAACCCGGGTAGATGATGGTTAGTAAGTCCCAACCATAAACGGGTGCGGCCGCCGTTTTAATTCTTTGCATAGTTTTAGGCAGACCATTTAATGCCAGGCTTTGATTTGACTCAGGAGACGTTTTGGAGGATTTGACACTTCATCAATTGTTGAGACACTGCGAGCAGGGCACTACCTTTCAAGCACGTGCAGAATCCCTCACACGCTTCTCTCCCACCCCGGTAGTCCGGGTTTTGCACCCTGAAACAGAGGCATACTTCGCTCCCATTGAGGGAGGAAAGTAAAGTCATCGCCCCAAGCTAGAGGGAGGCTCCCGCGCCTTTCAGGGCTTCAGGTAGTTGACGCAGCCGCCAGAGCTTGTTTTTGTCAGCCGCTTGCGCCAGGTGAGGAAATACTCCGCCACCATGAACCTGTTGCGCAAGGCTAGGGGCTCGGGTCAGCCGGCCGTATTTTCGGGGTCCGTCCGCCAGCTCGGGGTAGGTAGGGAGGTAGGTAGGTAGGAAAGTCTTGGGTTGATTCCCCGTCTTATCCACAGCTGCAACCCCTCCCCCCCCCAGGTTCTTGGTGATTCTTGGTGGAAGAAGGATACTTGAAAAGATTGGACAGGTTGCTGGAAGCAGGACACTCGAAAAGAATGGACAGTCTACCTGTGCAAAAAAGCGAGGATGCTTGAAAAGAAGGATACTTGAGAAATAGCCTCCGGACCTACCGACGACCTACCAACTACCTACCAACCTACCAACCTACCAACTAACCTACTAACCAACCTACCAACCAACCTACAAACGTACCAAAAAGGCTACCAACCAACAAATACCTACCAAGCGACCAACCTACCTACCAAGCGACCAACAAGCCTACCAACCAACCTCCCAACTTACCAAAAAGGCTACCAACCCACCCACCCACCCACCCTCCCTCCCACCCACCCAGCCAGCCAGCCAGCCTGCCTGCCTGCCTGCCTGCCTGCCTGCCTGCCTGCCTGCCTACCTACCAACAAGCCTACCAACCTACAAACCTACCAAAAAGGCTTTCAACCAACATACCAACCCAACCAACTACCCTACGTACCAAGCGGCAAACCAACCCAACCAACCAACCAAGCAAACCAAACCAAACCAAACCAACCCAACCCAACCCAACCCAACCCAACCCAACGCAACCCAACCCAACCCAACCCAACCCAACCCAACCCAACCCAACCCAACCCAACCCAACCACAAACCAACCAACCGACCGACCAACCAACCCAACCAACCCAACCAACCCAACCAACCCAACCAACCCAACCAACCCAACCCAACCCAACCCAACCCAACCCAACCAACCCAACCAACCCAACCAACCCAACCAACCCAACCAACCCAACCAACCCAACCAACCCACCCAACCCAACCAACCCAACCAACCCAACCAACCCAACCAACCCAACCCAACCAACCCAACCAACCCAACCAACCCAACCAACCCAACTAACCCAACCAACCCAACCAACCCAACCAACCCAACCAACCCAACCAACCCAACCAACCCAACCAACCCAACCAACCCAACCAACCCAACCAACCCAACCAACCCAACCAACCCAACCGACCAACCCAACCCACGCACCCAACCAAGCAACCTTCCAACCAACCAGCCAACCAGCCAACCAACCAACCAACCAACCAACCAACCCAACAAACCCAACCAACCAACCCAACCCACCCACCCAACCAACCAACCAACCAGCCAACCAGCCAACCAGCCAACCAAACAACCAACCCAACCAACCAACCAACCCAACCAACCAACCAACCCAACCAACCCAACCAGCCCAACCAACCCAACCAACCCAACCAACCCAACCAACCCAACCAACCCAACCAACTTGACCAACCAACCAACCAACCCAACCCAACCCAACCCAACCCAACCCAACCCAACCCAACCCAAACCAACCCAACCCAACCCAACCCAACCCAACCCAATTCAACTCAACCCAACCCAAACCAACCAACCCAACCCAACCCAACCCAACCCAACCCAACGCAACCCAACCCAACCCAACCCAACCCAACCCAACCCAACCCAACCCAACCCAACCACAAACCAACCAACCGACCGACCAACCAACCCAACCAACCCAGCCAACCCAACCCAACCCAACCCAACCCAACCAACCCAACCCAACCCAACCCAACCCAACCCAACCCAACCCAACCCAACCAAGCAACCAACCCATCCCGACCAACCCGACCAACCCGACCAACCCAACCAACCAACCAACCAACCAACCAACCACCCAACCAACCAACCAACCCAACAAGCCCAACCCAACCCAACCCAACCCAACCCAACCCAACCCAACCCAACCCAACCCAACCCAACCCAACCCAACCCAACCCAAACCAAACCAAACCCAACCCAACCCAACCAACCAACCAACCAACCAACCAACCAACCAACCAACCAACCAACCAACCAAACCATCCCGACCAACCCAACCCAACCCAACCCAACCAACCCAACCAACCACAAACCAACCGACCGACACCGACCGACCGACCAACCAACCCAACCAACCCAACCAACCCAACCAACCCAACCAACCCAACCAACCAACCAACCAACCAACCCAACCAACCCAACCAACCCAACCAACCCAACCAACCCAACCAACCCAACCAACAACCAACCAACCCAATACCCAACCCAACCAACCAACCAACCAACCAAAGCCAAAGCCAACCAACCCAACCAACCCAACCAACCCAACCAACCCAACCAACCCAACCAACCCAACCAACCCAACCAACCCAACCAACCCAACCAACCCAACCCAACCCAACCAACCCAACCAACCCAACCAACCCAACCCAACCCAACCCAACCCAACCCAACCCAACCCAACCCAACCCAACCCAACCCAACCCAACCCAACCAACCAAACCATCCCGACCAACCCGACCAACCCAACCAACCACCCAACCCCACCCAACCCAACCCAACCCAACCCAACCCAACCCAACCCAACCCAACCCAACCCAACCCAACCCAACCCAACCCAACCCAACCCAACCAACCAACCAACCAAACCATCCCGACCAACCCGACCAACCAACCAACCAACCAACCAACCAACCAACCAACCAACCAACCAACCAACCAACCAACCAACCAACCAACCAACCAACCAACCAACCAACCAACCAACCAACCAACCAACCAACCAACCAACCAACCAACCAACCAACCAACCAACCAACCAACCAACCAACCAACCAACCAACCAACCAACCAACCAACCAACCAACCAACCAACCAACCCAACCAACCAACCAACCAACCAACCAACCAACCAACCAACCAACCAACCAACCAACCAACCAACCAACCAACCAACCAACCAACCAACCAACCAACCAACCACCTACCAACTTACCACCCAAGGGCCTCCTTTTCGCACAGGGCACAGGCCCCGTCGCAGCTTCGCAGGTGCTGGAGCGACTCGGCCTGGAGCTGATGCCGCGCAACGGGATGATGAGCGAGATGGAGGCTTTGGGCGCTGCTTGGCTATCATTTTTCGACACCGATTGGATCTCATCTTTCCCGTTGAGATTCCAGGGAAACCAGCAAAACCAGACAAGCCAGGTCCTGAAAGCGATGCTAGGTCCCCGAGCTAGGTGCCAACTTTTTACAGTTTCGTTTTTTGGGAGAGGGTCCCCCTACTAAAATAGACTACAGGAAAAAGCTGGTGCTCTTATTCCAACCTCTCTACTTGAGGACCTAGTTGGAGTCCAACGTCCCAAAGTCCAATGGACCATTTCCCCAGAAAATCCAGGGGTTCAGACAAATTTCAAGCCAAGCTGTGCCTGCCACAAAAGTTATGTTTGGCGACCTGAACCAATTTGTAGCGGGGACCCTGTGGTGGACATTAGTCAGGTGGGGATTGTTGGGTGTTTTTTCTTTGAGGGGACCCTGTGGTAAGCCTCTTTTCAGGTGGTTCACTATTACATGTGTCTGGGGCTTCTTGGTCCAAAGTCCCACAGTCCCATGGGTTCAGGAAAAAAACAACCCAGAAAACATCCAAGGGTTCAGACACAAATCTCCAGCCAAGCTGTGCCAAGACCTTTTTGGGCTGTCCTTTTCTTTTTTGAGGGGACCCTGTAGTACACACCCGAACCAATTTGGGTATGAGTTTTAATCGTGGACATCAGTTAGGTTGGGGATTTTTGTTGAGGGGACCCTTTGTTGTTGGTTTTTTAATGGAGACCAAAAGGAAAACCACCGTTTTGGGGTAAAACAGACCCTGACGACTCGACGACAACAGAATTTGGTGTGGATTCATGTCCAGCAACCTCTTTTTACGTTCGCCACTAAAGTTCACAGCCACGTGTTTTTTTTTGGGGGACCGTTTGTGTCGGTTGGTTTCAGGATGGGTTTACCTATGGTTTTCCCTTTGGTGTCCTCTTTGAGTCAAAAGTGGGTGTCTCCAAGCGAAATTCCTGAAAGTGTTGGCCCCAGTTTTTGTGGCTGTCGCAGAGTCTCGTCCTCCCCAAACCAGCAGTAGACTATACCAACACGCAACACTATTGTTAGTGACTTATGTCAACGTGAAACGGAAAGCCAACTTCTCGAGCAAACTCAGACGCGCCCCACGCTTTATGTCGGGGGATTTCGGTTGGTGCACCTGACCCTGACGGCTCTCACAACCCATCAGAGCCTCAGAGCCTTGGTCAAGGACCGGTCCAGGCTTTGCCCAGAAAACCAAATGGAAACCATCTTTGAGGCTTCCGTGGACCCATCCTCGCGGGCAATGAACAGAATTATATATATATATATATATCGCTTGCGCAGAACAATCATTTGGGCACCATTTCGTTCAAACCCATTCAGTCACATAAAGGAACTCATGCATTCATTAAACAGAACACATTCCATATAACATCACAACGGTTTTTGTACGGAAACTTGATTCGCCTTTCCACAAATCAACGACTGAGCCTGAGATCTTACATTCGAACCCATTCTAGATTGCTTTTCAGGTTAGTTTGGTCTATTTCTCACCAAAAGGACACCTCAGTCCCCAGGCAAACCTCCGCCTTCCCTGGCTACCGTCCAGTCCGTCCTTTAGCCAAGGGCTGGCTCTTTGGTCGGGGCGCGCAGCTGGGGGACACCTGTCCTGAGCTGTACTGGCGCCTGGGTGGTTTTAACCCGTGAGGGTTGGAAGCGGTCGGGTGGAACAGCTTGGCTTCTTTTTAGGGATGTCTCAAATAGGGGAACCCGTGCAATGGCCGGTTTTGTTTTGGTTTCTTTCCCAACCAACCCTTTCTTGGGGAACCCTGAAAAGACAGACCCATATCAGCGGACGGGCAAAGCATGTTGAAGTGAACGTCGTCGCCTGGGAAAACCCCGGCAAGCCGTGAGACAAGCGATGGACAAAGGGTAGAGTCACACTGCCAGGTGGTTTCGTTAAAGGCACCCGTTGGACTTTGGGTTCCCCTTTCCGGCCCAGAGCTGTCCTTCGACCGGAGAAAACTTCTGTCAGCCACTTGACCCAACAAGTTCAGTTGTAGCTTCCTTTTTGGTGCTATGCAAGGACCTTTTCGGCGATGCAAAGGGGCAGGCCTGAGCGAGTTGGCAAAGTGTGCTGACCGAAACCCAAAAGAGTCGAGTGGACCGAGTGCTGAGTGCTGACGCTGACTCGTCCCGGAAAGCTGAAAGGGACATGGGGCTCTTCTTGGCTTCCATTCTTTGTTTTTTAAGTGTCCAATTGTTTTCCCCTTCAACACAAGAAGGCAGGAAGGGAGGAAGGCAGGAAAGCAGGGAAGCTGGTATTTGGGTTTGTCTCAAAATAGGGGCAGCTCCAAAAATAGGTGTGTTTTTTTTGGTCTTCCCCCCAACAAAACCCTCCGAGGGGTACCAACTGCCTCCCATGTTGAGCTCCCCACTTTTTCGCGACATCGGCTCTGGGCCTGAGGGGATCGACTCGGTTCCCTTTGGGCGGTGGGCGGTTCCGGGAGGCTGGGTGGTGTTGCGCCAAAAAAGGTGGGCTGGGGATATCTGGGTGGTTTTGCAAGCAAAAAAACAGGGGCCTCCTGGTGCCAAAACTTTCTCCAACTATGGCACCAGGAAACCAATCTCCCGCAGGTGCTATGTTCTTTAAAGCAACATCTTGTCACATTTCCATGGGGTCAAGCTATTTGTGTTTCTGTTCGCCCCTTCACATCTGCTCAGAATTATCAATCACCCTGGAGGTACCTCGTTTTCGTTCCACCCCACATCCCAACCAGAAAGGGGGTGTAGTAAGGGAAGACCCCAATCATACATGGCTGCCTTCGCCGCCTTCTTTATTCCTTACATGATTTTGGGTACACCATTTTACTACTCTAGAAGGGCCGCTCACCAGGATGTAGCTTTACAGCTCCAATGCTTCTAGAACACTGCAAATACCATGCTTTTCTGTGCAGACGCTGGCGACGAGGCGAAATGCACATTTTTTCCTCGCCTTTGTGTTTTACCTGATTTTGGGTACACCATTTTGGGTATACAGCTTTACATTGTTTTGCTTATGACCCACCTCCCTTGCTTTCGCCTCTAGGTCCCCCAGTAGTGCCCTTGTCTCTCCCCCTTTTTTGGGGGAGGGTTCCCCTACTAAATTAGACCGCATAAAAAAGCACCTTTGGGGGGAGGGTTTCCCCTACCAAAATAGACTACAGAGCAAAAAAACACGAAAAAAACAAATCACACCAACAAAAAACAGAAAGCCTTCTTCCAACCTCTCCACTGAAAAACCTTGTCCTTTGTCGCCCTATTTCCCCGAGGCTGCGGGACATGGCGGCGCTCTTCAAGTTCCTGGGCACCATGGAGCCCCGCACCGCGGAGCTGCTGCGGAAGAGGAGGGACACCAACGAGTACCAGACTCCCGGCGGAGACCAGTGGGGTTGGGCTTCGTGATCATGTTTTTTGAAAGGGATGCCGTCTTTAGGGTGTTAGGGTGTTTTCCTTGTTGAATTTGAGAGTCCATTTGGGTGTTTTTTTGTTTGTTTGTCTTGAATTTCATAGACGGTTGGGACGTATTCTCCTTCTTGATGTTCACAGGCGGTTGCTTCTTTGTTTTTGCAGAAAAAGAAATAGCTACTGAGAAAATGACCGCTGCTGCGCCGGCTTTTTCCATCCAAGCGGGATACCTGGCCTGCATGGCAAGGGTCGGATCCCTGCCATGCTTACACTTATCAGCCTGCTTTCCTTGTTGGCGACATGTTTTGGCGCCTCATAGTTCCTTGGCTCCTCGGTGATGCTCGCGTCCAGGCTTTGTTGCACCGTACGAGCTGAGAGGGCGGTGCAACAGGAACAAATACTGTTGCACACCCAAATGCAAAACGAAAAGCCGGCACCCCTTCTGAGGGTTTCTGAGGGACACCACAAGGAAGGCCGCCAATTTTCTGGCTTCCCCCAGCCCCACTTGCGGCCGAGCGGGCTTGTTGAAACTGGAGGGGAACACATGGGGGCCCCTCGGTTGTAGAGTTGGTACCCTTTTTGGGGTTGGAAAGGAGAAAAACACCAACCATCGTGGGGATTCTGCCGATTTTGAGACAACCCCACATGTTTCGAAGAAACACTGCCAGGTTGACATATCTGCACAAATGATCAGGGTGGTAAAAAGACCTGACCATGATCCCGGGTCATGGTTGGAAAATCAGGTTTAGATTGCCACTTTCTCCATCACGAACATCCCCTTCAAAGTGAGAAGGCCGTTCCATTTTCGTATAAGCCTCACTTCTCCACAGGATGCGTGCAGTGGCTCTTTGAAGGATACATTTAGACCAGCAACAGCCTCCTCAAATTTTTCCCGGCTGGTTTTAGCAGGCCTTTCTCTCGTTGAACCCATGGCTCCCGGGCGGTTTCCTCCCCCCCTCTCCGCCCTCCTCCGCCCTCCACGGAGGTTTTGGCGCCTCACCTTCGACGCGGAGAGCTCGGTGCGCCCGGGCTACGGCTTTGGCTTCGAGGTGCCGGCGGCTTGGCTCGGCGGAAGCGGCGGGAGCGGCGGAAGCGGCGGGAGCAAGCAAAAAAGAACGGGCCCAAACCCCTGCCCCCCGCCACGGGAAGAAAATCACCCCCCCTCCCCACACAAACTGGCGAAAAGCAACAAAATAACGCGCTGGAAAGCCAGTTGTTTGTGGGGAGTGGGTGTTGCGTCAGGTTCCAACTGGACTCTTGCACTGGAATTGTGGTGGGGGATTCGTGCGGGTGATTTCGTCTTTGGATTGATTGGTTCCGGGGGGTTGCGCTTGGAATCCTCCAGTAGACGTAAACGCGAGTAGGAGAGTATTATTCCCCCTATGTTTGGTGCCAAAAGGCGCCCTATTGGGATGGTTTGGCTGGTATGAGCCCGAAGCCTTGGTTCATGGGTCAAAATGAGGTTAGCAGCAGGAAGTTCTACAGGAACCCCCCTGGTTTGGCGGATATCCGCTGATATTTTCCTCAGCCCATGTATTTTCTGCACGATCTTTTCTATGATTGAACGCCCCACGCGGGTCCCGAGGCGATCTTCTGGGAAGTCCAGGGCGTGCGGGGCCATGATCAGGAGCTCCGAATCCACACTCCAGCTCCTGAGGGTCGATGCTGAGGGTCCTTGGGGGGTTTGTCCGCCCACCAACGTAGCACCTGTAGGAGGGTACCTGGATCAACCATGAAGGGACCAGAACCAAGAACCTGCAGGGTTTTGGGAGGCTTTTCAAGGCGGAGCTTCTGCCCAGCAACGTAGCACCTGGGAGGGTACCTGGAAGATCAAGGGGATTTTCTGTCAAGTGTCATGGGAGGGAGAAATGCTGACATGTAATCATGGCAAGTGCAGGTATCCTTTTGGAGGTATTTCTGAAACCTGACCACTCAAGCCCAAGTGGAAGTGACGGAAGCGGGACGAACTGTCGTGGTCCCTCAGTTCGGGAGGGATGCTGGACGAGCCATGAAAGGTAAAAAAAACAGTGGCAGAGAACGCAGGGCGTAGGACCAGAGGTGCATTTTGCTTCGATGTTAGGACTTGAACTTTTTGCCACCTATCGGGTTTTCCATTAAACCACTAAAAGTCTAAAAAAAGAGGAAAATTCGCCACCGGACTGTGCTCACCAAGTGGCGTCACGTCTTTTTTGGCCCGCAGGACATCGCAGACGTCACCGCCACAGCCTTCGGTCGAGAACTCACCCTGGGCGAAGGCCCGGCCGGCCTTGGGTGATCGATCCGCGCCCTTGGGCCGAGCGGGTGATCATTGCACACCGGTGCTTGGCAAGCGACTTTTGCTTTTGCTTGGGTTTTTTTTGGGCTCTGTTCATCTTGGGCTGCAAAACGCAGAACCCGTTTTTTTGTTTCTTCTTCTTTTTTCTCTCCATTTTTTGCAGGTAGTAAAGTTCAGCTGTGCGTTTCTCGACGAGCCAGGGGGATGGGAAGGATTGTAACCGGCCTCACGGGAACACGGTTGAGAAGCTACTGAGCCTTGATTCGCGGAGGAGAACAACAAGCTCTCCCGCGAAGGTCCCTCATACCGGGGATTCCTCGTTCACGGTTTGGGATCATAGGTGTCCTTTTTGGCTGATTTGGTTGAAAAATAGGTCCGGCGATTCCTGGTTTACCTGGTGGTGAAAATCAACTACCAGGGAAACCCATCCATTTTCAACCAAAAAGGACACCTACTGTGGATGGACGAAATCCTGCACCAAGTTGAACCACACCAAACCATGATTTGTTGGTATTTACAGGGGAATCGAATCATTCCCGGGTTTCTTAGGTGGTGCGAAACGGATTTCGCAACCATCCACAGTATGTTTGGGGATGCCGCAGCGAATCTTCGCCAGGCTTGGTGGTGCAGAGCCCCGCGGACGTGGGGAAGCTTCTGCAGCGGCCGAGCTGTACGGAGGAGGCGTCACCAAGAAGCGGTAGGTGGTTCGACCCCATATTCATCAACCCCAGTCCTGTAATTATTGGGGGTGTTCCCCTCCAAAAGTGGTCTGATTCCCCACTAAACCCAGAACCCCCCCCTAATACTCAACTGGGGTTGATTGATGTGGGGTCAACATTAAGTGTTTCGACCGGGTGCCCCAAAATGGGCCCTGCCACTTTTTGCTGGACCCGTTTTGGCTTTGGTGTACAGGGAAACCTAAAGTGAACATCACTTCTTCTTGGAAGACACCTCCCATATTTCCCTTTTTGGCAGTTCTAAACCTTAGTTCTTGGGCCAATTCACAAGTCAGTGTGTGAAATAGAGAGACCCACAGCTTGTGGTTCATTTGGTTTCCGGATTGAAGAGGTAACTCCAAAAGATGCCTCCTCGAGAAAACATAGACACACCTACAGGGCTCCTTAAAAGATACATTTTGCCCAATTGAAACATGTTGCTTCTTCCACCAAAATAAAGGGAAGCCACCATTTACAAGGCAATGTTCAGGTGTATAATGCATCCGGATCCCTGACCTACACAACTCATTTTTTTTTGCCAAGGCTCTTTCAGCCCATTTCTGCCAAAGCTCATAGCTGAGCCACATGGGGAGCCTTTTTGAAGGCCCGCGGTGTTTCCTGAAGGTCGGGAAGATTCGGTTGACATCCAGAAAAGTGCATCCCAAATCTCATTCGACCATACCTTGGTGGCGCCCGAAGGCCATCCGGTTCCTTAGCTTTTTTCGGGTTTTTAAGGGTTTAGTGGTAGTTTCCATTTAACCCGGTAAAGTTAACTTTTAGCAGTGGCTCTGAGGGCAGGTACGATCAAGTCTCACAATGATACGATTTGTGACTTCATGAGACCTATGCGTTTTGTATCAGGGGCCCTATTTCGAGACCTGCATTCAGTGTTGGCTTGACTTGGCTTCTCTGGGTGTCCTGTTCCCCGATCTGGTTCAATAGGAGCGCTGTTCATGGCTGGGTCTTTGATATCAGAAGGCCCCAAAAGGACAGTTGGGAAACAAGCGACTTTTCCAAACCCGCAAAAGGTGAAGAGCGACCCAGCCTTTTTTTTGGTGGGGGAAAGGCTTTCAAGCGTAACTCCACAACTCCACCTATGTTTTGAGAGTGTGTCAGTGTTTGGCGGCCACAAAAAAGAGAAGTCGCCGGCTTCTCGGCGAGTGCAGCTCCCTTCTCCGCAGCTCCCGCAGCGCCAGGATGTGCTCCATGCGCCTGAGCTGCCCACCTTTGAGGAGGGCTCGAGCCACATTTGATTCGGATGACGCTTGCAAGAGATTTGGGCCACCGCTGCTTTGTTCAGGATGCTTTTGCTGTTTTTTCAAGGCCTCAAGGCAAATGTGTGTCATTTGCCAGCTCCTAGATCTCGTTGGGGGGGAGCTCAAGCTCATATGTTTGGGTGTGCCTTTGGGGGCACCCTTTTTGGGATGTTGTTTTTCTCTATTTTGAGACACACCCGCTTGTCAGGGGATTTGTCTGTTTATCGGGTTCTAACAAGCGGATTGTCGAAGGCTTGCACAACTGACATCAGGATGGAGCCCTTAGTGGGATCAAAGGGAAGCCTAGCATTTTCTCTCAAGTTTGAGTCAAGAAACCCAAGTTGCCAGCATCCCAACCACCCAATCGTTAGCCTCGCAGGAGACACTCAGCCCTGATGAGGCGGAGTCGCTGATGAGCTGCAGCCTCAGTTTGGCCAACTCCTGTGACCTGGAGGGTCCAAAAACGCTGGGACTGCTACGAAACCATTACCTAGGTCTCTGAGTAGTGGCCCTTTTACCGTTTTTTGGGAGAGGGTTCCCCTACTAAAATAGACTACAGAAAAAAGGGTACCCTGATTCTAACCTCTCTACTGGAGCACCTAGTTACAGTAGCTTTGTTTGATGCCCGAATATTCTCAAGGCTGGTGGTTGCTGCTGCCGACACCTGTCTTTACGAAGTCATTGCGTGGTCTGCCCGTCCTCTTGTAGACTTCTCATATGCTCGAAGGGAGGGGGGGACCAGTTGAGGCTAGTAAGAACTTAGTGGATTTTAGTTAAGGCCAGCCGGGAAGCTTCGTTCAGGTCAGTTCGGATCAGCTGGAAAGATAGTTCGGGTGGCTGTGGGAGAGCCGGTAAGGTTAGTTAAGGTAAGCCGGATCATTCGTCAAAGCTGCATCAGGTTGGCCGGACAGTAAGGGTATTTGCTGAATAGTTAGCAGTGGTTAGCTGGCGCTATATGGTGAAGGTTGGACGGACAAGTAGTTAAGTTTAAGCGGACAGTTGCTGAAGGTTAGTGAAGCTGAATATTGACCCCGGATTAATAAACCCCTGTTTATGAATATGGGGGTGTCCCTGGTTTTAGTGAGGATTTATCACTATCACATAAACACACTTGGTCCCTTTGCCTTTCCTTTGGTCTAAGGGTGGAAGGAGAAAGTGCAAAGGGGGTTCGGGCTCCCTGATTCTGTGCCCAAAGTTCGGATTTGCACAGCTGTGCAACTCCCTTTGGGTCGGATTCGGCATCGCTCATGCAAACATTTGCCGACCAGCGAGACCAAGCCGTGGCTGGCTATGAAGTGCAAGAGTTAGAACCGATGCAGAAGTGGTTGGCGGACGTGACTCCCAACTCCGCCCAATTCTGATGTCCTGCTTGGGTTCCTCCCTTCGGATGATGCTAGGGACACGAAAAGGGGAGATTTGTTGTTCTTTTCCCACCTCAAACCCGGGGCGTCTGAAGAACCTTTGGCCCTTTGGGATAGAAAAAATAAACGCCGAATTTCTCGGCCTTCGAGGTCTACCAAAAGCCTCGAGCACATAGGCGTTGGTCAGTTTGTTCCATCGTTCGGCCCCCAAAGTTTTGACCAAGGGCAACTTTGCCCATGTGGTTGACAGAACAAATCTTTTGAGAGGTTTTCCAAGCCATGGTCATCCAACTCGTATTTCGAACCTTTGGATCAACCCCCATATGCCATGGAACCAAAACCGGGGGCGACAGCTTCGCGCGGCAAGCTTGGCAAGCCGCGCGGCGTTTGTTTTCGGAGCGAGGCTTCCTCACGGTGCCCTACCTGCAGCTCCCGCTGGTGCTGGATTTCTTCGCCTCTCAGGAAAGGTCCAGAAGGAAGGTTGATGGATCAAGTTTTTTCTAGGCTTTTTGGTTCTGTTCAGGTTGGTGGATCAAGGTTTTTTTAGGCTTTTTGGTTCTGTTCAGGTTGTTGGATCATTTTTGTTTGGTTCTGTTCAGGTTGTTGGATCAAGTTGTTTTTCGCTTTTTGGTTCTGTTCAGGTTGTTGGATCAAGGTTTTGTTAGGGTTTTTGGTTCTGTTCAGGTTGTTGGATCAAGTTTTTTACGCTTTTTGGTTCTGTTCAGGTTGTTGGATCAAGGTTTTTTAGGCTTTTTGGTTCTGTTCAGGTTGTTGGATCATTTTTGTTTGGTTCTGTTCAGGTTGTTGGATCAAGTTGTTTTTCGCTTTTTGGTTCTGTTCAGGTTGTTGGATCAAGGTTTTGTTAGGGTTTTTGGTTCTGTTCAGGTTGTTGGATCAAGTTTTTTACGCTTTTTGGTTCTGTTCAGGTTGTTGGATCAAGTTTTTTACGCTTTTTGGTTCTGTTCAGGTTGTTGGATCAAGGTTTTTTAGGCTTTTTGGTTCTGTTCAGGTTGTTGGATCATTTTTGTTTGGTTCTGTTCAGGTTGTTGGATCAAGTTGTTTTTCGCTTTTTGGTTCTGTTCAGGTTGTTGGATCAAGGTTTTGTTAGGGTTTTTGGTTCTGTTCAGGTTGTTGGATCAAGTTTTTTACGCTTTTTGGTTCTGTTCAGGTTGTTGGATCAAGTTTTTTACGCTTTTTGGTTCTGTTCAGGTTGTTGGATCAAGGTTTTGTTAGGGTTTTTGGTTCTGTTCAGGTTGTTGGATCAAGTTTTTTACGCTTTTTGGTTCTGTTCAGGTTGTTGGATCAAGGTTTTTTAGGCTTCTTGGTTCTGTTCATTTTCAGGGGGCTGCAAAAGCGAAGTTTTTCTTGCAAGGCCATGCGAAGGGTTGTAGAAAAAAGACTCCACCGGAATGATGTCCACCAGTTTGGGCCCCTTCTTGAAACTTACACCTGCCAGAAGACCCTTTTAGGAGCAAGTGGTCTTTCATGACCCAGCAGGTCCATTCAGGGTAGTTGGAGCCTCTGATTTGAGGGCAAGCAAGTGGAGCATGGGGTTGAAGGTTGCCAGTTTCGATACCGAGGAACCACCGTCAAAGAGTGAGACAGAGTAGTAGTGATTCGCAAAAATGCCCCCCTCCGCACCCCTCCACCACGCAGCACCCGGGCAACCACTGCTTTGCGGACTGTACCGGAACCGGGGGGAATTGGGGACATGGAAAAGCAGTTGCTGGGGGTGGCCTATGTTCCGCAAACTGCGGATTCAACATCCACCTGATAAGTGGCTTGCCCCATTCAACTCGGGTTTCTAGCGGGTGCGAAGTGGATTTCGTGAACAGCCAGAATCTGGAGCCTTCTCAACATGGCTTTCGGACCCTTTTGGGTGGGAATCAAGTGGACATACCTCCAGGGTTGTGGGATCGCTCGGGGTTTCTCCAACCACTTCTGCGATACAAGGGAATAGTGGACATAACTTCAGGGTTGTGGGTGTATCCAACCACTCCTGCGACACAAGTTGGAATTTCCCCCTTTCCATGAACCACTCAGTCTTTGGGAGGCCCTTTCGGTCGGTATCATGGAAGTGGTCATTCGATTCCCTTCCCCGCGGCCCTGGACATCGCGCAGGACCGCGCCAGCTATCTCTTCAACCCCCAGCGCCGCGGCGTGCAAGCGGGAGCTGGCGGTAGCTGGGTTTTGGGGGGGGAACCCGGGGAACCCCTGGCTGAATTAAGAACTTAGACTTTTTCAGGCTTTTGGTTGGTTTGGTGGTTGGGTTTCCGAATTTCACCCACTCAAAGTTAGTTCCTTTTGGCGGTGGATCAGAAACGGACAGCCTCAGACACGGAAACCAACAGGAACCATACACCTTTTCGGAGGTCTAAGAACCTTCTAGGGAGTCACTCAACTTTGAATCCGAAAAACCCATGAACGAAGCGCCAAGAAGCTTGAAGCCCTTGGAATTGAATGCAGCCGAACGGGTGAGGAACCACCTGATAGGAATTTGGAAGCGCCGAAGCCCCTCTGACGTTTGTATGCTCCGCTGGATTCATCATTGGTTTTCATGAAGGACAGCGTGTTGAAAGGAGGGCCCGAAAGTAGCACCGCCGCGACTCCAAGAACGCACATATTTCAGGGTACAGGGGCTGTTCAACATGATGGAGCAATCCTAAAAGCCTTGTACTCAGCGGGAAATCGCAAGGGACCAACCTGATCCCGCAACTCCAACCAGTCACGTAGCACATCCGTTGCAATCCTTCCGATCCCGAAACCTTCACTCATCTTAGTTTTGACTCATTCATTCCTTCAGGTTACCCGTCAGGTTGGTGGTCTGGATGGGTGGTTTGCAGAGTTGAAGCGGTCCTTGCGGAGAGTAAATCGAGAAAACCCGTGACCTCCAAACCAAGCCAAACCAACTGGTGGGAAGCCACAAGGACGACCCCAAAGCTTGTGGTTTTCCATTAGTTTCATTTAATATGCATATATACATAGATTTATAATGTAGGTAAATAACATATATTTATGATCATCTACGTATATATATATATGTATATCATATATATATATATCTATACACAGACACACACACACATATATATATATATATAACTATATATATATATATATTTATACATGCATATATATATATATACATACGTACCTATGTAAACATATATGTGTGTATATATATATATATGCATATCTTTTTACATGCATATATATATATATATCTATGTAAATAAATAAAGACGTGTTTGTATTTTGCCAAGGTTCTTTCCAACTGGAGGGAAGCTGATTTGCAACTCGAGGCTGCAGCGCTTGCTGCGGGCCGTGCTCTTTGAGCCCCGCGCCTTCCAGGCGAAAGGGTGGAACGTGGCTTCGGAGTTCCAGCGCTTCTTTTCGCCGGCCACGCGCCTTGGTGGCTCCCGAAGGCCATCCGGTTCCTTAGCCTTTTTTTGAAAGCTTTTTAGTTGGCTTGGTGGTTAGGTTTCCGAATTTCACCCACTGAAAGTTCAACTTTTGGTGGATCTGAGGACAGCCCACTGACATGGACCCCAGGGCTGCATATTAAAGAATGGTCTGCCAGGATTTTCTGCGAGGTTCCATGTGGATAGGCTCGGAAATGAAGCGAACATCCGCACCGAGCATCGCCGCACCGAGCGGCGCCGAGCCGTTCGCTCCCAAAAACAATTCGGGCGCTTTATCTTGGCCCAAAGGAAACGTAAACTTAAATGTCTCAATTTGGGCCTCCAGGTTTCGACATTTGAACTAGCAAGCACGGGATCATATGAATGGAAAGAAAGCTGGAAGGTGCTGCTGCAAGCTTGTGGGGAGGCCAAGTGTGTCGATGACCATGCGCATAATGAAGGCTAGGAGAAGACCAAGGGTTCTTGGCCTTATTTGGCCCGTCCATTCCGTGTCTTGCAGGAGTCGGGCGTGGGCGCGAACCTGGTGCCGGCGCAGAAGGGCGAGGGCGAAGCGGAGAAGCTATTCGGGACCGATGGGGATGCCGCGATGCCGCGATCCACCGGCGGGATGCCGCAGAGGGATGCTTCTCTGTTGTTGGAGATCAAGTGTCATGATGGTTGTTGGTTTTTCTCCTTTCTAGTGCGGGGTACTGCAAAAAGAACAAGGTTTTTCTCTAGAATACCAAGGGTGGTGCGAGTCGTTGTTTTGCAGCTCTTTCATGTTCTTTCATTTACTGGTCATGCTCTTGTTTTTAATCAGAGCGACATGGTCGCGACTGCCATGTATTTACAAATCCATTTCGGAACGGCCCAGTTGCAGTATTGCGAGTCGCCCCAGTTGCAGTTGATTCCCGACATGTTGCAACTAATGTCGACTCCGGAATTTATAAACCCCTGTTTATAAATACGGAGGTGTCCTCTTCAAAAGTGATGAATCCCCACCAAAACCGAGGACAACCCCATATTAATAAACAGGGGTTTATTCATGTGGGGTCAACATTATATCAATAGCCAGGGCCGGGTCTTGAACACAGCCCCACCACGCCTTCAAGCTTGCAACACGAAAGAGGCCCATGTGAGTATCTTCCAACAAGGCAGCCCCTCTACAGCCATGTGCCCTGGCCGGGGTCTCGTACGCTTCGGACGATGCTTTGGATCCTCGTGGACTGAGGTTTGCTCCAGGGATGGGGAAAAGCCTGCACTGAAGTCATGGGGCAAGCTGGGACGTATTTGCCTTAGGGTCATTTTGGCTCAGGCCTCACTAAAAAGCTCGAGCGCAGGCGTGGGCATTTCATTCATGGCATGCGTTTGCCTGCTAGATGGCACGGATGTGACGACGGCGGAGTATTCCCAGTGGCGGGCCGGGTTCTGTGGAATTGAAGATGCGGTTGGTTTTTTTCCACGCGTTGCGGCAGCACATCGCCACGAGATTGCAATTGCCAAATTCCAGGCAGCTCGCTCTGGCTGGCAACCTCGGCATGTTGGGCCCAGAGAGTCCATGGGAAAATGCTGAGTGCTTGACGGCCGTTAAACGGCAATATGTGGAAGCGGGAACTTGCAGTGACCTGCTGCAAGCGGCACGGGGAGGCCACGCGAAACGTGTTGTGGAGCTGTTGGAGAAGCCTCATGATCCCGATGCTGACAGAAACAGCCAGGTGACACCTCTGGTCAATGCTTCCGCAAACGGCCATTTGGAAGTTGTGCTTTGCTTGCTGGATGTAGGTGCTGACAAAGAGAAGGTAGACTTTGTTGGCGCCACGCCATTGCGTCTTGCTGCTGAGCAGGGCCATCACGCAGTTGTGCAGTGTGCCAGGCATCGTGCTGCTGGGCAGGGCGAATAGGCAGTCGCGCAGTGGTCGGTGGATGTTCGTGGTATGAAGGAAGGGCGAACAGCATGAGCGCCACACCGTCGCAGTTTGCTGCATGGCAGGGTAAAGCCCCATTCGGCAGGGCGACCAGGTTTAGGAGACTACCGCATATTTCAGCATTTTTCTGTGGGTTTATTTAGATACCTCTACAATCCTTGGAAGCCAACACTGGAAACTTCCAGAACGTCCGTCCGCCAGCACCCCACAACCACTGCTTTTTGGACATGGGAAAACCTGTGGAACAAGAGCCCTTCGCTTCAGTACACGGTGTTGAAATCCAAATCAAGGACTGTCATGCTGAGTCTCCCAAGGCTTTTGACACCATTGGCAAAGCGGCATGGCAACGGTTGCCAATGGTAAGCTTTGGTCTGGAGCGGAAATCATGACAAAAGCGCTGTGCAGAAACCCAGGGCCCAGGACCCGTACCCTTCTGGAGGCTCTTTTAATCCTAAAGACGCCCAGGGTACATCAGCCCTTGGCCAAGTTTAGATCTGGATTTGCCCACCTACAACGCCCCTGTGCTGAATATTGCCGATTTCCATCAACACGAGCTCACGCCGCGGCAAACGAACCGCGGACTGAGATAAATGGCAGATTGCTCCTCGTTCCCGACTTTGAACATGTTCAGCCATCATGTTCCGACGGATTTTTCCACACGCAAAACCTGTCTTGACATTTTACATCCGAAGGTTTACTCACTCCCTGAGTTCATGGACTTTAACTATTGTTTTGTGTTTGGACCATTCTCGTGGCAAAGAACAGTTTGGTGACTTTTTGTGGCCAATCCGCTCCATCACATGTGAGTTTTTACTTTTGTGGGCGACTCACACCGCTTGGTTGGGCCCTTCCAAAGCGAGTCGTCTCCTTGTCTCAGCGTTTTTCGGCAACAGGACCTCCTGGGGGCTGTTGCTGTCGGACCTTTGCCACGCCCCCTCATCCATCCTGGCGCCTTGGGTCTTTTCCGTGGCAGGTATGGCCAGGTCACTCGGGTGGGGGTCGATTCTTCTCCTGGACAACTGACCATGAAAGTGGGCATTCAGAAAGAAGTGCTTGGAAGGCTTTTCAGCACGGCTCCGGGATCCAGTTGCCAACTGAGTGAAGCGTTGTCTTTGCTGATTTGCAGACAAGTACAACTCGTGGAGGCCTGACTCCTTTCTGGCTCGTTCTGATGTTTTCCCTTCTCCTTTCTTTTCTGGTGATGCGCATCCCCTGCAAATCGATTCAGACGAACGGCCCCTCGTCACTTTTAGTTACTGGTCACGTTCTTCGGCTGCACTGGTCCTTGTTGTGGCTTTTCATACGAACGGGGGCACCCGCCTCTGACACCCGAAAAGCCCCCTATCCTGTCCCTTCGGGTGGCACACCTCGAGACCCCTTGCCTAGTTTGTGTCTGTTTGGTCTGCAGAAGAGCCATCTCGGTGTTCGAGTTGGCCCTAGGGGTTGGGTCGAAGGGATGTGGATAGATTTGAAGCTGCCGGGTTCGTTTAGCTCATCTCAGCGTGTTGTTTGCTTCATTTGACCGTGCAAACGGTTCCACCTGCGCCCAGTTGCAGGTTAGCACTTGCTCGGGAGGTTGTGAATCCATATGAATAGAAGTGGCGAGGCCCTGCCTCATGTTGATTAGATCATAGCCATGAAGATTAGTGGGATAACAGTGGTTGGTTTCTGTTACATGGTCGCAAGCCTATGCGGCTTGAGCACCCAATTCCCTTTGCCCCTTACGCTTGATTGCTCTTTGGCGCCTTTCAATGGAGTCTTGCTAGACTCAACAAAAACCTTCTTTCCCTTCCTTCAAAGGGGCCCCTTTTGACCAGCAACAAAGAAACTCATTTTTGCAGGGGGTCAAAGTCTGGCCAAGGCAACCACCGGACACTCTCGCGGTTCTCTGTGTTAAGGACCCTTTGCGGCGGATCCTGGGCGCAGTGTCCGAGCTGGCGCGGGTTTTTGTTTGGGTCCACGAAGCGATGCTGAGGGGGGGTGTTCCAATACACAAGTGGGATATCAGAGGTATACAAAAAGGTGTGCTACCGGTGTATCAGGGCTGCATAATGTTGACCCCATATTAATCAACCCCAGTTTATTCATAGGGGGTGTCCTTGGGTTTAGTGGGGAAGCATCAGTTTTGGAGACCAACCCCTGTTAATAAACTGGGAACAATATGGGGTCAACAAAAAACAGTAAGCAAAGGGTATATGCGGGGTATGTAGAAGCTACATAAACGAGCGGTATGTAAGGAACATGCAAGGAGTATGAAAGATGTGTACAAGGGTTACGTTGAGTCCACCCCTACTTTTGTGCCAACCATCTAGCGCATGCCGGTGGTTGTTTGTGCCATCGATTTTCCAAACGGACAGTTTGGGGCTTTACATATTCTCCCAGAGAAGGATCTTTGGGGAAACTTTCACGGGGCCCTCCCTACCTCAAAAGAGGAGTCAACAAGTCAATCCTGCCTGGGTATTGGAAACCCACCAGAAGTCCCAATAGCTTGTGTTTCCTCTTTGCACGCTGTTAGGACGGATCCACAGCGCGAGTATCCCAAGAAACCCTCGACTCTACGTCCTCGCGTTGAAAGGAAATGCCAAAGAGAACCATTCGAAGGCTCCTCGGACCCACATAGCATCTTGTTGGAATTCAGCCCTGTTTCTGGGGGGCGGATGAGGGTTTACACAACGGGGTGGCTCGTCTTTTCAAGATTGGACCTCCCAACATTGTGATTTGCCATTGGTTTCCCAGACCAAAAGAAAACAGTACGCAAATGCGCACCCAAATGGGAGGGTAGCTAAAGCAGGCTTTCAATTTCCTAGCTTTGGCAGCTTTTTAGTCATAGCCCCGACGTCGCTAAATCTTGACCTAGCAATGCCAGCGCATTTGAGCCCTGTTGGTAAGTAGCAACCGTCCATCCCCTGGCGGCCAGCCTGGAAGCTGGTACTTTGAAGCTTTTGGCACTCGGGCCTTGTGGCTTCTAAGTTCTGGTTGGTTTTGAACAGATGGCGTGGCCTTTCCAAAGCTTTTGAGCCGGGGCCAGAGTCGCCTCTCGTGTCATCTCGGGCGATCGCTCGGTTTCGGGGGGCTGGCTTACACGCGGAAGAGGCTTGGGTTGCGGGTGGTTTGGGGCTAGGCTGCGTATGTCTTTCTTGTCCGGCTGTGCTACAAAAGTTGTTCGACGCTGCCAAAGAGCTCCGGGAACACGGGGGCCCTTAGTGCTAAAGTTGCGGTGTTTAGTGGGGGACCCACTTAGTATTAGGGGGAGGGGGGCTGAGGGGGGGGGGATTGTTTTGGTTTTGTTTTTCCAGGCCAACGCGGAGGCCAACAGCTCAGAAGCGCCCTTTCTGCTCTTCGGTTTGGAGCTGGCGAGTGACCCGACCTGAGGTGGAGAGGGGCACCCGAAACTTTGTGTTGCCATTTGATTGTTCCTTGCTTGATGCACGGCCATATTTGGATTCGGAGATCAGGGTGCGTGAGGCTGAAAACCGCCTGAAGTCGACGTTTGTCTCTGAATAGGGAAGAACTCGGAAAAATAATGGGCTGTGTCCCTCTGGTTTCGTGTCACAGCTTCAGCTGTCATAAGGCAGGTATTTGGAGGCTTAGTGTACTGGATCGAACAAGACAGTTGTTATAGACTTTTTGTTTTACTTTCAACAGCCAGACCATGGTGCCCTAAGGAAAGCACTGTGATGCATGTTTGAGCAGTGGTCATGGAGCTGAGGTGGGGCGGGCAGAATTTTTTGTGGGAGTGGTCTGGCGGAAGGTATGTGCACCCTATGTGAGTCGTGAGTCGACTGAGTGGTTCGTAGCCACGAAGGGATTTGCATTGCAACTAAAGAGAAAGCAAGTAAACTAGCATCCCAACTATTAGCAACACTTGGGGCATCCAGTGTACCGTACCAGGGCTGTTTAAGACACTCCGTTTCCAGAATCCACGACAAGGTTTCCGTTTGGCTTCGAACAGTTTTGTGAATGGCAAAGAAAGGGGGTGGAGGCTATGAATTCAAAATTGTGTAGCCCTCTCATTCATGAATCAGAAAAGTTGGATTCGTCTGTGAACCTCCTCCAACTGGGCGTTTTCAAGAACTTGGCAGTTTCCTGCGAAAGTCAGAATGGACTCAAGGCATGTAATTGTTTGACGTCCCCCTGCAAGAGGTACCTTGAAGCCTCGTGTGCAACAAAACTGGGCTTGCCGGAGCCTGCCTGCGCCAGCGACTTCCTGCAAATTGGTAAGGCCAGAGGGGAAAAAGGAACCTACGGGGTGCGTATAAACATGCCTTCCAACAATGGGACTTTGGTGGCAGTTTTGGTGAAAGCGAGGTGTCCCTCAGATAGAAGCCGCTTTTGAGCTGCGGAATTCTTGGAAGGGGGACTACGAGCAAAGCGCTTTTGACTCCCCTTCAGGAATGCAAAGTACCCTCAAAAAGGATGTGGGTTTTAGTGGGCCCAGAAATGGTGGTTGTCCTTCTGGTTTCCTTTAAGAACACGCACGCACACACACACACAGACACCCACACAGTCGAAGGGGTCCAATCCCTCCGGCAGTCCCTTCATTTGCCCCAACCCCTTAGAGATTTCCGGAATGCAGCCAACAGGTTCTTTGACGTTATCAATCTTTGCGGCAACATGAAGTTTCGTTAACCCAACCAAACACTGGATCACCTGCTGTTCAACCCCCCTACCCGCTCGGGCTCAGGCGACCTCTTGCGATTTGTGGAGTTTGCGCACTTCGGCAAGAGTCGGTCGTCGGTGCTTTGGGGGCGCTGGCAAAATTAGGGACTCCGCCGAAGCCGAAAAAAAAACATGAGGATGTGTGAAGACCCGGTCGAAACGATTCAGCGCAGCAGACCAGTAGTGTCTGGCCCAACACTACTGTTGATGGTTGCGAAATCCATTTCGCACCACCTAAGATTCCCTGGTTTCTGATTCGATTCCTTTGTAAAGACCAACAAGCACATGATTTCAACCATGTTTCAAAGTGGCGCGAAATGGATTTCGTCCATCCACAGGAACACTACCTGCCACCAACCGGTTTTTTGGTCCGTTCTCCAAAGCCGAGCTTTCGGCCTTGCGGTTTCCCTGATTCGGTCCATTTTGAGTCATGGCCCCAGGGTTGCAAATCACCTCTCCGCGGCTGACCCTTTGGTGGCCCCCGAAGGCCATCCGGTTCAACTTAGCTTTTTGGGTTTTTAGTGTTTGGCGGGGATTTCCATTTAACCACTAAAAGCTAGACTTCTAGAGGGGGATCTGAGCCCAGTTTCTTAAAGGCTCCTTTCAGGTGAGAATGCAAGCGCCTGTTGTTTTGGAGGTATGTCGGATCAGAAGGCCCGTGTAAAGCGGGAAGACCATTCGGGAAAATCACCAAACAAGCGACTTTCCCAAATGCGAAAAGTTACCCATGAACCGAACGGAATACTGATCCAATTGACAAGCGGGGGTTGTTCTCAACTTGCTGGTGCTCAGTAGGGAATGACCAGGGTTTTGGGAATGAACCTAGGGATTCCCTTAGAGGAAACCATAGGGGATGGTTATGGGATGGTTTTTGTCGGGGTCATTCCATTTCTCATTCCCTACTGAGAACCAGCAAGTTAATACCTACATGACACTATTCTCCGCCTTCAGCGGGTAAAAGCGCACGCGAGAAGGCCCCATCCTGAGCGTGTTTTGACCGCCAAAAGCCTTTGTACTCCCACTTACACTCATTCTCATATCTGATTACTCGTCCAATACACACACACACACAAATGGAGCCTGAAAGGCCATTTCGCTCTTGCGCCCCTCTAACTCAGGTTCCATGTTTGTTGAGATTGTACTTGCGTTCTCCTTTTTTTCGAACCTTCCTAGCAGACTGGGTGCAACTGTTCAGCTTTCTCGGCCCACCTTCTAAGCCCCTAAGCCCATGGGCGCTGATGATTCCATCTCTTTGCGTTTCTTTTTCTCCGTCGCCCGGTGGTGTCCTTTTCTCCTTTTTTGGGGTAAGGGTTCCCCTTTAAACTCAAGGGTGCCCTTTTTTCCGATGGCCACTGGGCATCTGAGTTGTCATTCCAGGCTTTGGCCTGCCCGAGGAACGAACTGCAGGGCTCCAGCGTTCTGCGCGAGGCGGCTCGACGTGAGCCGGGACGCTGGGGGAATGGGGCTGGAAGGGGGGGGGGGTTATCGCATGTTCTCGCGGATGTGAAACTGATCCAATCTTTTTGAGGTCTTTTTGAGGGAGTTAGATATAACTTGAATGGGATGCGATGCGGATTTGGATTGGGATGGACAGATGGAAGGATGCAGAGAGGGAGGAAAGGGCCCATCCAACTGTTCACTTGTCACCCCCAGGCGATTGGTCTGCGAAAACCAGCGCCCTAGAAGCCCAGTATGGAGCGAATGCCGTAAGGTCATACGCTTGGACACATGGCGGGGAGTTTTGGACTCAGATTTGTTGGGATGAAGGCAGATGGGAAGCATTTTGTTGCTTAAGTGAGAACGTATTCACAAGATGGAAATCCACCTCTCGCCTTCCAGCTCAAACAGTTTTTTCCCTCTTGTCTCCGGGTTTTACTGGATTTTACCCAGGCTTGCCATGGTTTTCTGCGGGCTTTCCGGTGGTTTTCTGCGGGTTCCCCCCAGTTGCTTCGATCGAGGGCAGCGCCTGGCTCCGAAGCTTCCTCCAGCAGCTGCACGGCACCGTGCAGCGCTGGCCAGGATCCGCGGCGGCGGGCGCCTGGGTGCTGGGTGCTGGGTGCGGGTTTGGTGGCGTTGCTGTCCTTTGTGGTTGTTTTGTTGGCTTTAAAGGGAATCTATCACTGGAAGAATATGTTTTTTGAGGCCGGTTTTCGCAAATGGAAACCCTAGGTATCCTTGGTGGTTGCTTTGATAGAAAGTAGATGGCAATGCCTGGTTGGTTTCAGAAGCTACCAGCCATCTATGGCCCCCCAAAAGGACACCCATGGTCTTGCTGGTTGGATAGGCCGGGAATGAGAAATGGAATCCGACAAAGACCATCTCTGGTTTGGTTAAGGGAATCTGATTCGAGAGATGCAGGGAATGAGAAATGGAATGAGAAACGGAATGAACAGTGAAGATACAAAAAATATTGCTGGGTCTCAGCGGGGATACTTGGGAATTCGATTCGCCAAGTTAGTAAGAAGTTGGTAACCGTTCGGTTATAACCTACTAATAAGTCCCCTGTGATTGTTGGCTTAACCTTGTTACGGGGTGAGACTTTAGTTGGCTACCCTGACACTAACTTGGCGAATCGGACATCCAAGTAGGCAGGGAATGAGAAACGGAATGACCCCGGCAAAAACCATCCCCGATTTGGTTTCCTTTAAGGGACGCCGGGAACAGTTCCTGGGTCACGGTACCCGGACTCAAAACAGGTGCTTCATGGTATACTCCTCGATGGTTCGGATTGGTTTCGATTTGGATTTGAACTCGTTTGGTCTGCCTCCTTGGAACCGGAAGATCCAGTGACTGTTGGATTGGTGGTTTGGATTTGAATTTGAAGCCCTGGTTCTTGTTGATGGGTCCACAAACATGGAGCCCACCCGTTTCAAGGAAAGTCGTCTTCCAGGATCCCGAAGCGTCAGGTTCCATGGCAACTTGGATGGGACCTGGACCCTCAACACACCCCAAATCCTCTTTTTTGCAACCAACCGAAGGAATTCGTCTAAGGTGAGTCGAACATCTCCTTTGCCAAGCGAACACCCTTTGAACTGATCAATGCGGCATGGATGGGAATCAAACCACCTGGGTATCACAGAAAGGGGCAGATTTTTGAGAGTCCCCTTTTCAGGTTGGTTTAAAGAGAAACTTCAAAAGCTGAAACGGAAATTCCTTTGCGACCCCATTTTCCACCAGCCGGGTTTGAGGGCTCCGCTTCCGCCCCCACAAATCCGAAGCCGAGGCTACTGCGCGCTGCACGGCTTCGACAGCGGTCAGTTTGCTGAGGCCGGGGGGCGGAGTGTCAGTCAGTCAGCCCCAGGCGCCGCCCGTACTTAGCACTGTCAGAAACGCCTCTTGAACACCGCGGTAACTCACCGCGCTTGGTTGCCCAAGTGGTCAACTTGCTTTTCTTTGTTGCCCTTGTCATTGGCTATTTTTTCTTTTCTTGTTTCCCTGAGGTGATGGCTGAGTTACACGAAAAGGGCCATGATGCTCAACGGGGATCCTCCGTTAAAATGCGGTTGGCGGACATCAATTCCCACCTGAAGGATGTCCAGCAAAGGGTCCCCCATTTCTTACCCTTCAACTACGTACCCACACAAAATCAATTTTGGTTGGGTTGAGGTCAGTCTTGCAAAACGGTTTGGCTCAACACTAGAAATCTATCAGTTTTTTTCCCCCCTGTTGGCCCCCGTTTTTTTTCTTCTTCTTCCTAGTGCTCCTTTGGTCTATCCGGTTGGTGGCTCCCCAGCTTCGCCACCAAGCGTCACCGATCCGAGCGCTCCGCTTTCGCGAGCGAAAGCTCGAGGCGATGGCCAGCTGGTGCGCGGTGAGGACCTGGCACCACTTCGGCTGCCACGAGACGGAGAACTGGGGGGAGGGAACCAAAGCTGAACGACGGTCTGCAGCCTCAACGGAGGGCTTCATAGCAGAGAAGCACCAACCAGGGTTTATTTGGGTTCTTTTGACTAGGTCCCCCTAGGTGCCAACTTTCTCACCCGTTTCTTTTTTGGTCGGGGTTGGGTTCCAACCTACTAAAATAGACTACAAAAAAAAAGAAGCGGTACCATCTTATTCTATCCTCTCAAATCTGGAGGACCAAAGTTTAACGACGGAGGCCTGGACCCTGAAGCGAGAGGGGAAACCAGTATCAACCAGAGTTCTTAGGGCTGCAATGGAACCAACTCTTAAGGGTAGTTACGCTTAGAAATAACTATGCCTTTTCTCTTCTCTCTCTCTCCGTCTCTTCTATCTTCTCTCTCTTTCTCTCTCTTCTCTTTCTTTCTCTTCTTTCTTCTCTCTTTTCTTTTCTCAATTCTCTTCTTTTTTCTCCTCTCTCACAACCAAGTTTTATAGGTAGGCAAAAGCAGAAACCGCTAACCCAACACTTTGGGGCAGCCTTCAATGTCATTTTTTGGGGTAGTTTGAAGGCGAGTGCATGTTTTGTTTGGAGGCAGAAAGGTTCACTTTCCTTTAGCCTTTAGAGGCATCGACAAGCGAGACCCAATCGGAACGCCCATGCGCGTTGCTCAAAATGGATTTCGAACCTTCTTTTGGCATTTAAAGCGAATCAGGGTTGCGGGATCACTCGGGGTTTATCCCCACTTCTGTGATACTTTTGGGAATCTCCCCCTTTGTATGGGGTTAGTCTTTGATATGCCCTTTTCGTTGTATCACAGAAGTGGTCATTTCCCACAGCCCTGAAGCGAAACGACAGGCTGCCAACCTTTTTGAGGGTTCGCCTATTTGGCTGTGGGTCAAAACTGTTTTGGTACCATGTTGGTTGGTAGGTGAATTCACCACACAAATTAGGACCTAGTTTAGTGGTTGGATTGAACCGGATGTTCACTGCGGGTACGATTTGGCTTTTGACCCATGGCCATTTGAGAAACTCCTCCTCTCGCAGCACGGAGGAGGAGGCGGGGCTGACGGCGAACCAGCGGCTCAAGCGCTTTCTGCAAGCCCAGGCGCTCTGCTGGTTCCTGGTTTGCGTTTGCGGCTTGCGGCTTGCGAACGCGAAATTTGCTCCTTAAAGGGGTTTATTCCCTCAGTTGCTGCTGAGCAAGCCAAACGCCAGTTGTGTGTGTTTCTCCCACATTTTTTGGGGCTTCCCCGCCAATTCTGTGAAATTTGCTCCTTACTTGGTGAATTCCGAGACACGATCCCTTTGGTTCGCTGTCTCGGCGTTGAGATTCCATCCGGAGAAGAGATGTATCGCAACTTAGATGCAACTTGCAGGTTGTATTTGAAGGGACCCTTCCTCATACATGCCCGTGATTCTCCGTCGGGAGGCGATGGGATTCCAATCCTAACGTGCCCAACCTAACATGGACCACACCAGGCGCTCCAGGAGGAAAATCTTCCAAACCAGCACCAATCAGGTTCCATGTTGGCTGGTGAGAGGGTGTGTCAGAATTCAAATTGGACACTCAAGGTAAATCGCACAATTTGTTGGGCGGCTTCACCAATTCTGTGTTCTTTCCCACATTTTCTTTAGGAGGTTCCAAACGCCAGTTGCGTTTTCCCACCTTTTTGGGGGTTCCAACCACCAATTGTCGGCATTTTTTCCGAAGCCGATCGATCTCCGGCTCAGGGCATCGACACTGGTCGCACCAGCGAGGAGATGCTGAATCAGTTCACACGCCAGGCGTGGATCCAAACGAAGCGGGCGCCTGGACCCTCAGGCCTCCTTTAAAAATGGGACCCCCGCAACTTTGGTGGAAGGAACCATCTTCAGGAAGCCACATCCGGGAAACCATCTCCAGGAAATTCGCCAAATGCCCTCGCAAACCAGGGGTTTGAGCTAACTTCCTGGAGAAATTCCTGGAGATGGTTTCTCGAACTAGAGTTAAATAACTACATATTTTCGGTAGGCCCCATGGCATGAGTTCCATTCGGCAACCAACACATCAAACCTCGGGACGAAGCTTGCCACTGCAGGATCCCCCCGGAGGCAGGCAGCCTAAAATGGGTGTCGACTTTGCCAGGAGTTTGCCATGTCCAAAACGTCGGCCGTTGATTTCGCGGGTTGAAAGCGGTTGGACACCTCCTACCCCTCCCACCCCTACCCCCTCCCCCCCTTCCCACCCCCTCCCACCCCCCTCCCACCCCTCCTACCCCCCTCCTACCCCCCTCCCACCCCCTCCTCCCACTCCCTCCCACCCTCCTAACCGCTCATACCCCCGCCCATAGGTGTCCTTTTTGGTTGATTTGGTGAAAAATAGAGAGCGATCCCTGGTTTACCTGGTGGTTCAATCAACTGCCGCCATCTATTTTCCTAAAAAAGGACACCTATGCCCCCAGCCCTCCACCTTTCAGTTTGGGTCCAGGACGGCCTCTATCGCCCAGTGTTCCTGCGGGTGGGCCAGCAGACGCTGCGCGTGCCCAACTTCGGGCACAGGTCGCGCGCTCTCGACCGAAATGGCCTAGTTCAGTACGAGAGACAGATACATGTGTGTATAATATATATATATATATGTATACATACATATATATATACATATATATATGTATATACATAAATGGAATTACATATGTAAACGTATTATACGTTTGATCCGTGTCTGTCCTGAATTGACACAGAGGCTATCCCTGCTATTGTTTTGTCGCATCCATTGCAACTCTTTGTTGAGCAATCCTGCTTCCCGCAGAAGTGAATAGGGGACGTAAGCTCCACTTGGCGATGTGTGGAGATTCAAGGGCGTGTAGGCACTAAACATCACCTGTTGGCCATGTTTGAAGAGTTCTCCCGGAGGTGCCTCAAAACATGTACCCACCATGGCTCGTTGGCAAACAAGGAAACAAAGACTAAAACCTGCGTAAATTCTGCTGTTTCATTTTGAGCACCACTATTAAATCATGGAATCTGCCAGGTTCCATGTGTCAGTGGACAAGTGTCACTCCTCGCCTGGGTTTGTGTCCCACAGATGATTCTCGATGATGAAGTGCCGGTCAAGAGCGCCATGACCAGGGTCCATGCGCAAGTCTGTGCGGAAAAATTGGCTATGAATTTTAGGACTGAACCACCTCCAAGGTCTGTTGGTGGGACATGAATTCCTCTGTTAAAATGAGGACCCATTTGTTTCTGCGGACGTTGGTCACCTGATGATGTACGCCAGGCGCAACGAGGCAGGGCAAACGGGCGCCTTGGCGAGAACTTGGGGCGCAGAGATCTTCGACTAGAGCCATCGGGGGTAAAGGAGCGACCCGTGAAGTGTGCTGATTTTGTGGGGATGCCTTCAATCCGGTTGAGTCAGTTGAATATCTGTGCCAAATGGCCCACAATGTGGCTGTCAAGTAAAGCCTCATGTGTGGCAAATACATATATATATACACACATATAATTACATACATATATATATATATATATATGTATGTATATGTACAACATGAACAAACCATTCCGTGGCTTCTTGGCTTCGACCCCATGGGAAACCTGCCGCCTTTCGTAGCGCGTCGGAGCCATTCATGGTGCCGGGTTCGAGGGTTCCGCTGAGCGTTGCCGGGCCCAGGGGCATGTGGGCTGTTGGGGGTCGACCTGGGCTTGCAACAATCCCATGACGGGTCTTTCAAAGAGGCGACCCCCCAAAAAAGAAACCCACTAGTAGCCCCAATATTCTTAGTCACTATTTGGCCCTTGTTGGGATGGGCCCCTATGGTGCTGACTCAGGGCCATTGAAACAATTTGACTGCCTTGTTTGGGTGAGAACTCTGAAGAGGGTTCCAGCCAAAGTAGCGCGGGGTATTGAGAGAATTCCTGGGTGCCAGGCTGGGGGCCTCGAAGAACAAGTACGCATTTGTCTGAACAACCCCTGAGCATTCTGGCACCTGTCATGACCTTGTTGGCATGCCAACACTTTCATTTGAGGACTTCCCAAATGGGAAGGTCACAGACCAAGAGACTGCCGTTGGACTCAACCATTCCCAGGCCACTTCAAAGCTTCGTGGTTGATCTCCTCAGTCTTTCCAGAAAGGTGCCGATTTTCAGGTTTGGATTGCTGGTGGGATTTGAATTTCGCTCCAAGACCGCCTTCAGGCGTCGCGACCGATGGTGGTTTGCGCACATGCCGAAGAGCCGAGGTCACGCACAGGGCCAACATTATCCTCATATTCCCCAGTCTCCAGCTTTTCATAGCTTATTCGCGCGTAAGCGTGTTCATCAAAGAAACAAAGCCAACTTTTTGCAGTTCTAGACTTCCTTTGGTTGTAATATTAAGATCGTACTACTACTAATTATTGCAGCAAACACGGCAACTAGCCGTGATTGTTTTGGCCTTCAGCTTGCGCAGCCATCAAAAGGTGAATCCTCTGCGGACTTTCGGTGGGTCAACCCGGGGAGATAGAGAGTGAGAAGGAAAGAGAACAAGAAAGAGCAAGACCAAGTGAAAGCGAGCACAAAATAGAAAGGCATCCCAAATTGAAACGAGCACTAAGCTTGCCATTCCTCCCGCCGACTTCTCTTCTACTTTCGAGGATCCCCTGCAATCTGGGGAGTTAAACAAACAGCCAAAGAAGAACTAGGCTCAATCGTTTGAGCCCTCATTCTCCAGCGCCCGCGCAGGAGAGCAGCAGAAGCTGCGCGATGGCATCTTGTGACATCAGGCGCTGGCAAGCTTAAGCCTTCCAAGATGTAGGGGTTGTTAAACCACCGCAAGTGTGACGGCAGCTTTGAAGCGTGCAGGAGTCACGCGTTGCCCCCATCCTGGACTTCACTTGGAGGGATCTTGGGGCCATTTGATTCTTGCGAAAGTGGAGAAAACCTGCCCAATTGAAAACCTAAAGTGTGGCAGGCTGTCAGGCCAGATCTGCCTGTGCGCTTGTAGAGGCCCACTGTCTCTCAAAGTCCCGCGCGGTAGCAGCTGCAAAGCTTTGCGACGGAGCCTGCTTGCACGAGGCGGGGCCTCAACTATTGTGCAGCACAGCGGCTGATGTTTTCCTTCGATGCATTGCAACCTTGGGCTTTTGGCCCAAGCAGCCTGGCCTAAGCGATCGGGTTACAGCAGACAAAGACTACAGAACTACTTTGGACACGTGCTGGCGAATACAAGGTTGGCAGTTTTACCAGAAGAGCCGTTCGCAACAGGCTCTGCCACCGTCTGATGTTTCAGTCTTTTCTCTGTTGTTTTCTGCGCTTCATTTTTAGTGTCTGTGTGCTTCTTCTTTATGTTGTTCTTCCCACTTCTCCTCCAACCTCCCCCAACCTTTCGCATGACCGCCTTCTGCGCCCACGTTCATTTCCGTTTCTTGTTTGTCCTTTGGTTGTATGTTTGGGTTGCTGTGGTTTTTGTGCTTATCAACTTGGGTGTTTTTGGGATTGGCCACCGTCGGCTTGTTGTTTAAAACCAATGTTGTAGTTGTCTTTGCTTTGCATGTAACTGCAAGACATTTGCGCAGCTCGTGTGTGTTCGCCGGCCGGCTCCAACCTTGCATCAGCGCAAATGGCTCGCGTCGGCTATGTCGGCTTGAGCAGAGCCATGTTGAGGAAAGCCGCAGCACTTGAACTTCCGTTTTGAGGGCTCCCGTGTCCCGGCCGCCTTTCAGCAGCTTCGCCTCAGTGGACGGATGCTGCTTCGCAGATAGCTGCGGATTCTGCACCGGCGCTCAGCGACGGAGAGCCCAAGGCGGTTCACCTCAGGGACCCCGCTGCAGGCAAACCAACAACACGTGCCCTCTTGCAGTTTGACACGCGAATATGACGCATCGCGAAGCACGCGCGCAAAGCGGCGTTGTTTGGTGGATGGCTTGTGGAAAAGAGCAGTGCTTTCGCTTGTAGCAGGTGTCGATTGAGGCTCGCGTTGCTGTCAGCAGCGTGGTCGGAAATGCTACGGTGTAAGGAGCAAGGGTTGGTGCTCGAGACATGCGTGTCTGTGCAAAGCAAAACAAGACAGCCAGACAAATCTCGCAGCCACGTCACGCAGAGGCAAAAACGCAGCAGAGAAAATGGCGGCGGGAAACTAAGTGGGGCTGGTCCGAAGATTTTGCTTCAGGGGGTCATAACCGGGTGTGTGAATGAGGGCGCCCTTGTCACCTTGGTCCAAGTGGATGCCGACGAGAAATCCGCATTGTTGACAAGGCAGGCAGTGTCCGACGATGTTGCTGCAGGAACAAAGTTTCAGCCATGTGGCGCGTCAGCAAATGACAGTTCCAGTCCCTGAGCGTTGCAGGCGCCGAACGCTGAATGGGCGCGGCGGCTTGGTAACATCAGGGCCCTGGCAGAGTAGGGTCTACCAGGCGAGGCGCTGAGAATGCTGCGCTGGAAGAAGTTTTTACCAACAGCGCATGAAAGCAAGGTCCACCAACCCGCCTAGGGTTGGCCCTCGCTGGCCTCGGGCCCATGGAATCGCTGGCCTCGGGCCCACGGAATCATTGTGTTTGGCAACAAGACAAGCCACCAACTAAGGGTTACCTCAAAAAGCGGCGCCTTTCATGGAAGACAAAGGAGACCAAAACGAATTTTGTTTGCTTCAACACTGGGTCTTGCGCTTGAACGGGAGCCAGAAACTTTCTCACGGGTCTGAGGTGTGCCTGAGGCGCGCCTCTTCCGCGCCCTGCAGTGTGGGCCTTTGCGCATCCGATTTTCGAACTCGTGGGACTCCAACAGCAAAACGGGCAGGCGGATGCACCCAATTGCTTGTGACAAAGGGGTGCTGGTTGTGGCACGTCCCCGCATGGGGCGTGTTTATATCTGCTTTTGGGTTGCGGAATCTATTGAGCGAAAGGGGCACGGGTGCACGTGGGGCATGCAAATGATCCTGGGCAGGTTCTCGTTCGCAGGGATGACCCAAAGTCAAAAGATGAGGGTACCCCGATTGAACACAAAGGGGCTCGGGACCAAACCAAAAGCTCCTTCCAGGAACCCAAGTCTAAGAAGCGCTCAGAAGCCCAGAGCAACGCGCCGGTTCCCTTGAGCCGTTGCAGGTTCCAGCTCTGAAAAATCCATATCCCTGTGAATTCAATTTTGGTGTTGCTTTCATTTCCATGTGAATTCCATATCCAGTTCCAGGTTGTTTCTTCATTTCTGGGGTTAGCTTGAAGGGACACCAGCCCCTTTCCTGAACAACCACTCAGGGTGCACCGCAGCAAGATCCTGGCCGCCTTTCTGGCAGCCCCAGAGCACCTGCCAGGCGCTCAGTAAACCAAGGGATGTTTCAAAGGGAAGGGATAGCAAATCGTCCGGCTCCTTAGGGGTTTTAGTGATTTTTAGTTGGTGTGTTTGGTTGGCACGTTCGCCGAACCCGAAGCCAGAGCAGAACTCTCGGCCCCGAAAAGGGTGCTTCCCTTCGCGAAAAAAGAGAGAAAAAAACGCGTCAACTCCTTGGGGCCGACTTGCCAAGGGACAAACCCTGTGGAAGCAGAGCCGGGCGAAATATGTTTTAACCAGCCCATGGTACCCGAGCACAAAGGAGGCGGTTTATTTGTGTTTTTTTGCGTTTAAGCCTGTTTGAACTGGTTGGCAACCTTGTTTGTTCACACCCCTTTTCATGAAGAGTAAGGCTTATGTAAAACACCCCCAGAGTGAGTGGAGTTTCGCTTTTTGCAGGCTGTTTCCCTTCATTTCGCTTGGCTTTTAGTTTTCCCAATTGACTTTCTCTTGGTTTCAGTTGGTTTTCCCCTGGTTTCCCCCCCCAGTTTTTTGGGGTTTCCCTGGTTTCAGTTGGTTTCTGTTGGTCTCTCGGTTTTTGTGGCTTCATCTTTCTTCCGCCGGACAGGTTAGGAGTAACTAGGTCCCCAGCGGTCCGGTGCCCTTCTCTCCCCTTCTTTGGTTGGGAGGCTTCCCCTAAGATCGACGCCGGAGACCTCGTTGGAGTCAGCTTCCCTGGTCCATTGATTTCGAGCTTGGTGCTTTGGAGGTTGGCCGGTTTCAAGCCAGTTTGCGACCACCGGAGCTTGCTCCAATCCCATCCCGGCTGGACAGTGCAGACGCCATTTCCCGTGGAGCTCCGCGCCGAGGACTCCGGTGGCCCAGGCGGGGCTGCGCGCGGAGCCCGCGGAGCTCGTGGCGCTGCAGTGGGCGCACAAGGCGAAGCCGCCGGCGCCGGGGGGTTTCACCGCCGGGGGGGGGTTTCGGGCGGATGGGGTTTTTCGGTTTTTCGGGCGGGAAGACAGAGGCGTTTTGTTGTTTGGCTGGTTTGTTGGCCTTGTAGCATCCAGCTGTGGTGGGTTTCTTTTTTGGTCCTTCAGAGCCTGAAAAGCTCGGATGTTCCAGTCAGCTAGAGCTGTCACTTGAGCTCCGGAACTCGGAGTCTAGTCACCTTTCTTGGGCCTGGGCACTTTTTATGGTGACAAACAAACACGTTGAATCTGTTTTTGGCCAATCTACTCGGGAAGCGAGCATAAGCTCAGTTGCTCGAGCGAATCGACCAGATCTGGATCTGGGTTTTTTGTTTGCTTGGTTGGGTCCATTTTGAGTCACCCCTGATCACCCCTTTTGTTTCTAAACCTTTCTGGGTCCTTTGGGCAAGTGAGTAAGGAACTAAAGTCTCACTACAGTCCACTGCCATAACCATGACTAAATGCAGTTTGCCTACCCCACACCCCCGCTCGATTATTTTGGCCTTTATACTAGTCCCCCCAACAATACAGGGGGTAAGGCTGCCAGTCGATCTCGTTTATTTGGTACTAAGACTAAGACTATTCCGTCTGGGGACATATTGGGTGTGTCTCAAAGTAGGACATGCCCAAATGCTTGACTTTTTGGGTATGCTCAAAACAAAGATTTGGAACCCATTCTTGCCTCTGCGTTTAGGACGAAGACACACGACATGAATGAAAACCTCTTTTTACCACCAAAAGGGTACGCTGACTCTTTGGGCTTAAGACGAAAACAAACGACATGAATGAAAGCCCCGGGTTTTGGACATCTACTGAGCCTCTGCGTTTAGGACGAAGACACATGCCATGAATGAAAAACCCAGGGTTTTTTGGACATTTGCTCCCTGTAGACATGAACGCCCCGGGTCTTAGACCTGTCGGCTGTACATCAGCCAGGTTGCCAATTGAAGGGAAGTCAAAAGGCTGTGGCTCAAAAACATGTACCCAAAATGGCCCCTAAATGGAAACCAAAATCAAGACCTGCGGTTTGCCCTACCTCCTAAATTTTCAGCCACACCCAAAAGGATACGTTGGACAGACAAGCCCAGGGCGCAGGGGTCTTCGTGGCGGACGAGCTGCAGCTGAGCGTGCAGACGGGCGAGCTCCTTTGGCGCCGCCTGGCCTCGGTGTGCGCGGGCTCCATTGGAAGGGTCAAAATGGGGTGTACGTTTCTGGGTTTGGCTGTTGGGTGCCATGGTTTGGTGGTTTTTTGTTTGTTCGTTTGTGTAGTGCCCTCTTACCCTTTCTTTTGGGGGGAGGGTCCCCCTAAAATAGACTACAGAAAAAGTTTAGTACCCTTGTTCTAACCTCTCGACTGGAGGACCTCGTTTGTTTGTTTGTTTGTTTGTTTGTCTGTCTGTTTGTTTGTTGGTTTGCTTGGCTGATCTCACTGGCAGAAAGCGACCTTCTAGCTAGCCTTTGCCGTGTGTTTTTCCATGTTGGTGTCCATTTTTCGTGGGCCCAAAAGGTTCGCCTTTTGCTTCAGTGTCCGAGTGACGGGTGGGTCAAGCGGGGGTCGCTGGGGTCGAAACAGGGAGCCAAGCACAAGTGCTGCGTTGCTCTGCACATCCGACTAAGCTGATTAACCCTAGGCCAGACACGGCCATTCCGCGCGGGGACTCTGAACTGGGTGTGGCTCAAAATTCGAGAGCCAGGGTGAACTACGCAGGTTTTAGTCTTTGGTTCCATTTTCCAAGGTGGAAAATTTATTTGAGCCCATTTTTGGTACATTTATTTGGTTCCATTATCTTAGTCTTTGGTTCCAAAATTTTAGCCTTTAGTCTTTTGGTCTCCATTTATTTGAGCCACAGCCAACTGAGCCGAGGCGAAGATGGGCTGAAGCCGCTGCCTGACTCCATGACCCGCTTTGAGGCGCCTCGTGTCGGCTCGGTGAAGTACTGTGGGCATAGGGCTCATCCTTTTAGGGTCCAGTACATATGGCTGTGGCTCAAACAAATGTACCCAAAATGGCTCTAGGCAAATGGAAACCAAAACCAAGACCTGCGTAACCCTACCTCCTAAATTTTGAGCCACACCCATATGTGTGCTTTTTACTGTTGGGGGCCCACCGAAGAGGGCCTCCAAAATCTTTTCCCAACCCAGCTTCATCGCCAGGGTGGCTCGCTCGTCCTTTTGGGGGCGAAGTACCCTTTTGAGTGGCTTGCAGGGAAACTATATAATTCTAGGTCCCCAGCTAGGTGTCCTTTTACCAACTTTTTTGGGGAGGGTTCCCCCACTAAACAAGACTACAGAAAAAAGTTGGAACCCTTATTCTAACCTCTCTACTGAAAAACCTAGGTGGCTCCCCGGGTCGCAAAAGGACACCGACGCCGCGGGGCTTCCGAATCTCGCGCCCTGAGTTCATGAACTGCATATTTTTTTGGGTCTGGACCATTCTGGTGGTAAACAGCAAGTTTAGTTGTTCTTCTTTGTTTTTTTGTTTGTGCGAATCCACACAAGAAGTGAATCTGGTGGTACACAACTTTGTTTTGGTGCGAATCCACTAAAGAAGCGAGAAAATGAGAGAGAGAGAGAGAGAGAGAGAGAGCTGTCAATATCTCACATGGCTCTCGGGTGATCGGCCCCAAGCTAGGTCAGGGCCACATTTGATTCGTTCCTCTGTTGCCCGGTGGATTCCGCCCACTTTTTTTTCAACTGGTTTTGGGGGTTTGGGGTTCCGATTCCTGTAAACTCAAGCAAACAAATCGGATCCCGATTCTAATTCTTCTTTTTTTTCTCCCCATGGAAATCCACTGGGCATTTGGTTTGTCCCTCGGAACGCGATTGTTGAGATGCCTCCATTTGCTGAAGACGATTTTTCATTTTCCCTGGTTTGTTTTAGAAGGACTCATCACTACTGGACATATTTGTTCTTATCATTTTTTCCTGGGGCCTGAACCAAACGAAAGAGGACATGCCCTGGAAGCATTTGGTTTGTGTCTCGAAACCCAAGAAATCTTGTTTTTCCCCTGGAAATGCCCTGAGCATTTGTTGTGTGACTCGGAGCTTTTTGAAATTTTCCGAGATGCCAATTCCGCCATCGCCAGGACTTCGAGACCATCTTCGGCGACGCCTCGCTGCAGTGCGGCGTCGTGTCCCGCACTCGGCGTGGGCCTTAGAGGCGAGCGAACCGAGACCCGTGGACCATCGCAAAGGGAAGTTGGAAGCGAGCGGACCATGTGGAAAACGGATTTCTTGATGTGTCCTTTTTTTAGGGGCCCCAACCAAATTTGAATTGGTTTTCTTTGGTTTCCCTTCAAAACAAGCACTTTTTGAAAGGTTGCAGCCCCCCTCATCCCCTTTTGCTTTTTTGTTGGTCCCTGGTTCGTGTGACCCTTTCCGCCTAGCCCAAAACACGGCTCGCTTTCTGGGCAGCCCTTTCCACCTGGGTTTCAACCAGAACACCTCCTGCCCGGGGTTGGTCCAGTTCGTGCACGAAATCCACCATCCCCCCACGTAGGCCTCCCCATTCTCGGAAGCCCCTGCCTCACTACTGTGGATGCACGAAATCCTGCACCACCTCAGAAATTATTCCCCTGTAAGTAACAACCAACCATGGCTTCCCATGGTTTCATTTCGTGGTGCGGCATGGATTTCGAACCACCATCCACTCGTGCGACTCGGATCCGTCGAATCCGAATGCATCGAATCACAGGCACCGGCTCTGGGTGCACCTGGTGGGCAAGGGCTTCGACCTCCTCGAGTGGGACGCAGCGCCGCAGGCGGCCTTCAAGCAAGGCGCGCGCGGCCCGGGGCCATGGATTGGAAGGAAACGGTTTGTCGTGGGATGGAGTGGCTTCCGGAAATTTGGTTGTTGGTTTGTTGGTTTTTTGGTGTTTTGGTGTGGGGGGGGGAGGAGTGAAGTGTTTCTTGTTTTTTTCTTCTGTGGGGGGGGGGGGGGGTGATGTTGTTTGTTTTTGCTTGGTGTGGGGGGGGGAGGAGTGAAGTTGTTTGTTTTTCTCAGTGTGGGGGGGGGGGGAGGAGTGATGTTGTTTGTTTTTGTTTGGTGTGGGGGGGGGGGAGGAGTGAAGTTGTTTTTTTCTTCTTTTTGTGTGGGGGGGGGGCCCAGGAGGAGTGATGGGGGGGGGAGGAGTGATTGATTTTATGTTGTATTTTTTTTTTGGGGGGGGGAGTGATGCTCTTTTTTTTTTGGAGGGGAGGGGGGGGAGTAATTTTGAGGTTGCTCAAAATGGGTTCAGGTTTGTTTGAGGCTTGGCAACCTTTTCAGGTTGGTTGGGGGAACTGGGACAAGCTTTTGGTTGGGTTTGACAACCATAGCAGCGACTTTGCGAATCTGGGGTCTACAACCAGTAGCGTGGTTTCAAAAAATGGGAGAACTGCCATTTTTGTGGGCCCCCAGCCACTTGTTAGGCTAAACACCCCGTTGTTTCTTTTGGTTCTCTGGCACATGAAAGTTGGTAGCGCAAACATGGCACCTGAAACGGGCCCGGCTTACCTGAAGTTCCATCCTCTAGGGGGTCCGGGATGCAACGCATCAGAGAAAGAGAGAAGCAGAGAAGGGATGGGACAAGCAGTAAGGGAAGGCTTGGGGGCATAAGACTTCCATCTGCCAAGCTTACCCCAGCACAGTTCCCATAATTTGCTTGCTACAGTTTCACCTCGGTTTGGTTTCGCCTCGCTCCCCCTTCTCAGCAACCGGTTTGCCGGGCAAGATCATTCTGCCCAAGACAAGCTGCAAGCAACACGGGTTTGTCGCTCCCGTGCCGAGCAATGCCCGGATCCTCTCGCCTGTTCGTCCTTCCGTGACTCACGGCGGCGTTTCCAGGCGCTTTGGGACCAGAGGACATGCCTGCGGCGCCCTGCGCGCGGTGCGGGGGCACCGCGGGCTGCTGGCAGTGCGAGCGCTGCACCATGATCAACTGCCGGGCGGAGGCGCGCGGGCGCAGCGCAGGGGGCAGTCGCGCAGTCGATCTTCGCGGTTTTTCCTCGGAGAGGCGCCGGAGAGGGGTCGTCCGAGTTTTGGTGTTTGGACGCGGTGGCGCTTCGTTGCGTTTTTGGTTTATGTCAGCCCTACGGTGCCGCGCCCCGCATCCCATCCGCAACCTTGGGGTTTTGGACCTGGTTGAAAAAGCAGGTTGGGGAGACAGCGGGTAGACTTTGAGCTTTTCAATCTGTGTCGAATCAAAAAGGATACACCCTCGGGTTGGGTAGGCGAACTTCCCGAAGCTGATAAAAGTTGGACTAAGGGATCGGCTGCAACCAAGTTGAGAGACTCATTTGCGGCCGGGTGTTTTGCCAAACCTTGTCTGGAATCACCGTCGGGGGTACCGATGCCAGCATCAGACCTATTTGGCAAGGACGCGGAATATCTGAGGGCCTGACGAAACTACCCACGTCATGCTGTTACGATCATTGCTTGATTTGCTTTTAGCGTGCTCCAACAAACCCGTTCTAATTTATTATGCCCTTCTAGCAGGCAGCTCAGCCGCTGTTTTTCGTTGGGCACACTGTTGCCGACGCATGCAACGCCAAAAGGCAGACCCCCTCCTTTCCGACGACCAGGTAGTCTTCAAGAAGGGTGTGTGCGCATCCATGCTTGGTGGAAGGGCATCGGTTGAACCAAGCAAGAGCCGTGCGGGTTTCATTGGTCATAGCGGTTTCTCTTCGAAGCAAACTTCACACAGGGCACAGCCATGTATCAAAACTAGCAGCCGCAATGGCCAGCTAGTTCCTGCTTTTTATTCGCCAGGGCCTTCAGTTTTGACACTTCGCTTTCGAAACCTGAGCAACAAACTGCGTGGTACAACGGCGTCCATGTTTTTGTTTACTTGTAAGTGGTTTGGAGGTCACGGGTGTTCCTGTTTGCCCTTTACAAGAAGCATGGGTTCAAACCACCAATCCCAACCACCGACTAAGGGTTTCCTGGGGTCTCCAACACTGTTTTGTATTTTAGGGTAGACAATATGAAGCAGAGTCTGATCATATTAGGTCTTTTTGGGTTGGTCTGACAGGGAGACAAGAAGAACACCAACCATTTTGGGGTCCCAGATTTTGAGGCACCCCCATGACTTTCTTTGGGGATGGGCCAAGCTTAGGTTCAAATGGATTCTGGCGGCAAACTGCTTGCGCCTTGCCTGCCGAGCTCTCGGCTACTCCCCATTTGCCGTGACATCCTCACAACTGGTCAGGGCAATGTCCCCAAAGCGCAATGGGTCCCGCCGCAGCCCTCCCGCGCCCCTCTCAAGTGGCTTCCAATTTATTTGTGGACTGCAACTTCCCAGGTCCTGAAAGCGATTGGATATGGGTATGGGTCAAAATCAAACCACCAACAAACCGCTGGTTTTCGCCTTTTCCATCTTCCAGGGTTCCATTTTGGGCTCCTATTTTTGACCCACACCCATGGCCCCAATGTGACACCCCACTCCAGCGGCCCAGGGCGGTCAATCCAGCTGCATCGCCTGCGGCGGCCCAGCACCTGGGGAGGAGTCCAATGGGAACGCGCACGGGATGCCTGGGCCTTTCCTCCGAGGCGCCATGCGTGTTTTGTTGGCGTGTTTTGGGTGTTTTGACTTTTTCTTTGTGTGTGTGTGTGTGCGCGTTTTGTTTGGTGTGTTTTGGGCGTGTTGACTTTTTCTTTGTGTGTGCGAGCGCGTTTGTTGGCGTGTTTAGCTCTTTTGTTGTGTGTTTTCTGTTTTGGAGAGGGGGAGGGGAACTGTTGGGGTCGGTTGGGGTGTGTTGAACATCATTCCCGGGCAATCTGTGGTCTGTTTGGCGAACGTCCAGTCAAGTTTCAGGGGAACACATCCAGCGCCCACCACAGTTGGACATCGGCAAGAGGCTTCGGGTTCGGAAGCCCACCAATCACTGTTGGCTGAAGTGCTGCTGGAAAAAATCTCCAACCCACTTCGCGCCAGTTGGCCGGTGGTTGGTCCGATTTTTTTGGTCTGAATTGGGTTTTATCCATCCCACCTGGTGCGTGAATGTGGCGTTTTGTGGACGTTGTCCATTGACGGTAATAAAAGCTCGCCACCTTGGACAAGTCCTTTGACCCCCTCCCGCAGGCGCACAGCGGCGGGTCAAGGTGAAGCCGGCCCCTGGACGCAGCAAAAAGTTCTTCGTACGAGTCGCCCTTTACACCGCCGCACATCGACGTGGAGCCCGAAAAGCCGCGGGTTTTCGGAGGAATCTCTTGTCGGAGCCTGTTCATGTGAAGGGGTGTAAGGCTTGGAAAGATCGAATCTTCCCTTTTGGGCCTCATGTGTATTTTGCAGGGGCGTATGCCTCGGGATTTTTTTTTCAGCGTTTGGTTGGATCGATATTTGGTTAGATGGTTAAAGCTCCTCTTTTTTGCCCGTTCCAATTTGGTTGGATCTTTCAGTTCTTGGGAACCCATGTTCGGTCATGCGTCCACTTGGCAAACATGAAACAGCTCTTGGTTGACAGTTGGGCGAGCCTCTTATTCCGAGCTGGGGAAGCTCTGGTTCAGAAATTTTTGCATTGGAACAGGCTCTTGCCTTCCTGTGGCCCGGTGTTGAATGACTAAACAAGGGGGGATGGTGCCATCTACTTTCATTCAACTGTAGTTCCGTTCAACGTTCCTCTGGATCTAGTGGGACACCCCCCCAAATCGGTAGTTTTCCTTTTGGTGTTCCTTCAAACCAGCCAAAAAAGCAACAACACCTTACGGCCATTTGGTTAGATCTTTGGACTTTAGCGTTTTGGTTGAAACAGCACGGATTTCCCAGAAACAGTGAACAACTGGATTTTCCATTGGACTCATTGGACCCACAAAAAGAAAGAGACCCGCTGCAACCAATATTTTATTTCCATTGGGTCGCTGCAACCAAGAGCTCACGCCTCCCCATCTTGAGGTCTCCGAGTGCGCCTTCCTGGGGCAGCGGTACTGCCGGGTGTTGGACGTCTACGAGGAGTCCACCCTTCCGGAGCCGGAGAGGCCGTCTGTCTGCTTGCTGGTTCTCAGCAGGAACTGGCCCTTCCAGGTGTTGGGAATGAACCTGAGATTTCCCTTAAAGGAACCAGTAGGGGGTTTAGAGTTTGGATGGTTTGGATATTGGACCTCCAATTTCGAGTGGGAAAAACCTCCGAACCCAGCAGTCCAAAAACCCAGCTTTTCATGACAGGAGTAGTTTACTCCATCGCTTTGCATGAGTTCATCATGCCTTGCCTTAGCCCTGGCTCAGGGCAAAAAATGCGCTCGCCACACCTCACTGAGCTGCCGGAATTGAAAAAAAAAGATAAGCACAAGTTCATTGGAGGGAAGCGGATTTTTTCCCCAGCTGAAAGGGTGTGGTTTGGGGCAGCTTTCGGGGCGAGCTCCGGAGATTCAGTTCGGGGTTCCGGGGTTGTTGGGGATACCACAAGGAAACTGAAAGGACCACCATTTTGCCATTTTGGCGGTTTCACCCTAAACCCTTCGGGTTTTTTCTTGACCACAAAGCTCGGGCACCCAGCCGCAAAGACGAGCCAGCCGCCTGCGGTCTCTGGTCCGCCAGGTGGCTGCTGGAGGTCTTGGCCCCGGTGGTGCTGACGCTCTTCCCAGCGGATCCCCCGGACCGCAAGCTGCGGTACCAGCTGCTGCTCCCAGAGCAAACTCAGACGGGGGACGAGCCCCTCGCCCCGTTTGGTGGAGGGGGAAGTGTGAGGGAGGCCCCGTTTTAACTTTTTTTCTTTCACAGGGCGTACTCTCTCCCCAACGAAAGAAAGGTGTGTCAAGACTTGCGCTGGAGTGAAGCTTTCGTGGGTCCCAGGACCTGTTGGTCATCGGAATTCGGCGGGGGCGGGGGTTCATGTCCGACCACCTTTCGAGGTGGTGTCCGATTAAAAATGGTGTGGGGCTGTCAATCAGATCTTAAAGGGACCTTGGTGCCCCAGAGATCAAGGTGCTTGTGGTCACTTTGGCTGAACAAAGTGCAGTCCATCAGGCTCACTGTGGTTCGTTGTTTCATCCGCCCACTTTTCTAGTGAAGAACCCTTTTCAAGGGAGGCGGTTCATTTCAGTGGACAAGGCAAGCCCTGAGCCCATGGCTCTACCCAGACTGGACATCTCCATCTTATGCGGATTCCCTCGGGCTGCCCTGTTCCCAGAGGCCCACGGAGCGCCGGAGGTCTCATTTTTCTCTTGCGTTGCAGAGCATGCTTGGGGTTGCTCTCAAACAAAAAGCCAACATCAACAACAGAAAAGGGTGTCCTATGACGGGTCATTGGGCAAGTAGCATGAGGAGATGACAACAGCTTTTGGCGATCTCGCCTTGGCGGGGCGGGGGGGGGGGTTCAGGTTGGTGAAACATCGTATTTTCGTGCAGATGGTTGGAATCGAAGTGGCTGGAAGGGAGCCGTTGCAGAGCGGGTATCCAACTTTGACTTAGCTTAGAGGGAGCCTTTCGGAGGTTACGACAAAAAAGGAGACGCCTTTGCTGGAATTGCCTTTCGTGGGCTGAGCCAATGCAATTGGTAAGCCTTGGCAGAGGTGTCACTCACATGGCGTGAAGCCTTATCTAAGAATCCTGGTCAGCTGCCTAAAACCATCTTTCAAGGATCGGGTTGCAGGAAACAACAGCTTACTTCAGGCGTTTTGGGGTCATGTCCTCTAGATTTTCCTGCAAAACCCTTTGACTCTTAGAACCCGGGCCGCGCACGAAAGCGAACGCCGAGGATCCGAGTGCTGGGCTTTGACCAGGGAGAAGACCCCGAGAAGCAGGAGACACGGCCCCGTAGGAAAACCCCTGCAAAAGCCCGGGTTTTTTCCTCGTGGTGTTCCTTTAAAATCGGTGAACAAAAGAGGTAAAACAGCTGGTTTTCCTTGTGGTGTTCCTTTAAAATCAGTGCAAAAAGAGGTAAACCAGTAGAACGTGCTGGTTTTCCTCGTGGTTTTCCTTTAAAGTCAGTGAAAAAAGAGGTAAAACAGTAGAACGTGCTGGTTTTCCTCGTGGTTTTCCTTTAAAGTCAGTGCAAAAAGAGGTAAAACAGTAGAACGTGCTGGTTTTCCTCGTGGTTTTCCTTTAAAATCGGTGAACAAAAGAGGTAAAACAGCTGGTTTTGCTCGTGGTTTTCCTTTAAAATCAGTGCAAAAAGAGGTAAAACAGTAGAACGTGCTGGTTTTCCTCGTGGTTTTCCTTTAAAGTCAGTGAAAAAAGAGGTAAAACAGTAGAACGTGCTGGTTTTCCTCGTGGTTTTCCTTTAAAATCGGTGAACAAAAGAGGTAAAACAGCTGGTTTTCCTCGTGGTTTTCCTTTAAAGTCAGTGAAAAAAGAGGTAAAACAGTAGAACGTGCTGGTTTTCCTCGTGGTTTTCCTTTAAAGTCAGTGAAAAAAGAAGTCAGTGAAAAAAGAGGTAAAACAGTAGAACGTGCTTGTTTTCCTCGTGGTTTTCCTTTAAAATCAGTGCAAGAAGAAGTAAAACAGTAGAACGTGCTGGTTTTCCTTGTGGTTTTCCTTTAAAGTCAGTGAAAAAAGAGGTAAAACAGTAGAACGTGCTGGTTTTCCTCGTGGTGTTCCTTTTATCGGTGAACAAAAGAGGTAAAACAGCTGGTTTTCCTTGTGGTGTTCCTTTAAAATCAGTGCAAAAAGAGGTAAAACAGTAGAACGTGCTGGTTTTCCTCGTGGTTTTCCTTTAAAGTCAGTAAAAAAAGAGGTAAAACAGTAGAACGTGCTGGTTTTCCTCGTGGTTTTCCTTTAAAATCGGTGAAAAAAGAAGTCAGTGCAAAAAGAGGTAAAACAGTAGAACGTGCTGGTTTTCCTCGTGGTTTTCCTTTAAAATCAGTGAAAAAAGAGGTAAAACAGTAGAACGTGCTGGTGTTCCTCGTGGTTTTCCTTTAAAGTCAGTGCAAAAAGAGGTAAAACAGTAGAACGTGCTGGTTTTCCTCGTGGTGTTCCTTTAATCGGTGAACAAAAGAGGTAAAACAGCTGGTTTTCCTTGTGGTGTTCCTTTAAAATCAGTGCAAAAAGAGGTAAAACAGTAGAACGTGCTGGTTTTCCTCGTGGTTTTCCTTTAAAGTCAGTGAAAAAAGAGGTAAAACAGTAGAACGTGCTGGTTTTCCTCGTGGTTTTCCTTTAAAGTCAGTGAAAAAGAGGTAAAACAGTAGAACGTGCTGGTTTTCCTCGTGATTTTCCATTAAAGTCAGTGAACAAAAGAGGTAAAACAGCTGGTTTTCCTTGTGGTGTTCCTTTAAAATCAGTTCAAAAAGAGGTAAAACAGTAGAACGTGCTGGTTTTCCTCGTGGTTTTCCTTTAAAGTCAGTGAAAAAAGAGGTAAAACAGTAGAACGTGCTGGTTTTCCTCGTGGTTTTCCTTTAAAGTCAGTGAAAAAAGAGGTAAAACAGTAGAACGTGCTGGTTTTCCTCGTGGTTTTCCTTTAAGTCAGTGAACAAAGAGGTAAAACAGTAGAACGTGCTGGTTTTCCTCGTGGTTTTCCTTTAAAGTCAGTGAAGAAAGAGGTAAAACAGTGGAACGTGCTGGTTTTCCTCGTGGTTTTCCTTTAAAATCAGTGAAAAAAGAAGTAAAACAGTAGAACGTGCTGGTTTTCCTCGTGGTTTTCCTTTAAAGTCAGTGAAAAAAGAGGTAAAACAGTAGAACGTGCTGGTTTTCCTCGTGGTTTTCCTTTACAATCAGTGAAAAAAGAGGTAAAACAGTAGAACGTGCTGTTTTCCTCGTGGTTTTCGTTTAAAGTCAGTGAAAAAAGAGGTAGAACAGTAGAACGTGCTGGTGTTCCTCGTGGTTTTCCTTTAAAGTCAGTGAAAAAAGAGGTAAAACAGTAGAACGTGCTGGTTTTCCTCGTGGTTTTTGTTTAAAGTCAGTGCAAAAAGAGGTAAAACAGTAGAACGTGCTGGTTTTCCTCGTGGTTTTCCTTTAAAGTCAGTGAAAAAAGAGGTAACACAGTAGAACGTGCTGGTTTTCCTCGTGGTTTTCTTTTAAAGTCAATGAAAAAAAAAAGGTAAAACAGTAGAACGTGCTGGTTGTCCTCGTGGTTTTCCTTTAAAGTCAGTGAAAAAAGAGGTAAAACAGTAGAACGTGCTGGTTTTCCTCGTGGTTTTCCTTTAAAGTCAGTGAAAAAAGAGGTAAAACAGTAGAACGTGCTGGTTTTCCTCGTGGTTTTCCTGTAAAATCAGTGCAAAAAGAAGTAAAACAGTAGAACGTGCTGGTTTTCCTCGTGGTTTTCCTTTAAAGTCAGTGAAAAAAGAGGTAAAACAGTAGAACGTGCTGGTTTTCCTTGTGGTTTTCCTTTAAAATCAGTGAAAAAAGAGGTAAAACAGTAGAACGTGCTGGTTTTCCTCGTGGTTTTCCTTTAAAGTCAGTGAAAAAAGAGGTAAAACAGTAGAACGTGCTGGTTTTGCTTGGTGGTGTTCCTGTGAACATGACCGAACAAGAGGAAACCAAGAGGCACCCTCATTTTCAAGATACGGGCAAAAGGGTGGCGTCTCCGCCATTTTGAGAAACTCCCACATGGTATGTTAAATTATGGAAACCCCCAAAGTGAAGGCGTGGGGGGTGGGGTCCTTACTAGTTTTCATACACGCAAGACCGACAACTTGTGTAAAGGAAAGGTCATGGCTTAGGAGTTTTAGACATGGCAAGGATAAGGGAACCGTCACTTTGATCTGCCTATCTTTTAGGCATTGCACAACTAGGTTAGACATTTGTTTCACAGGGGCAAGTCAATGGAGTGCCTTCCTTTTCCCCTTCGCAGTATCCCCAGAAAGGGTAGCTTCAAACGAAGACCGGTCTGAGTGGGGACTTTTCCAGCCCGGCTGCTTTTCTGTTGCCATTCTCCGTGCACCGGTGGCTTTTTCTGGCGCAGGAGCAGGGTGTGGCTGTGGCGAGCTCTGAGGAGAAATCTTCAGCGGCGACCTGGAAGGAGTCCGCTTATTACCTTGTTCTCGGCGGATTGACAGAGCAGAGTTGCAGAAGGCATTGGCAAAACAAGTCAAGCACAGGCACTTTATGTTGCACGCAGTTTGTGCTGCGCAGTTCATTGCCAGGAAATCTTGGTCTCCAAAACCCACCGCTCCGTGAGCGTCTTCAACTTGGTGCCTTTCTGCCGGCGCTTCTATCGGTGTTTGGTCTTCAGCTCGCGCCTTGCTTCATTGTTTCTCTTTTTTTTGGGTGGGGGGAAGGGGCAAGTGGAGAGAAGGGGGTAGAACTGGAAAACATAGACTATTAAGCGTCCCTTGTGGCTTTCTTTGGTTGCTATTGAACGCCCAAGTAATCTCCATTCAAACACGAAAAACATTTTTTTGAGTTTCGTTTATTTTTAGTGGGCGTTGCTCAGATGGCAAGGGTTGTCTGATGCGCGTCGTTGGCTTTGAGAACGGGCCATGGTGAGTGCAATGATTGAGCGCGTGCGTGGGTTTCCCTTATTGCCACGGCGTCAGCTGGGACGTGATTGGCGGGTCCAGTTTTGAGGTGATGTTTGCTTCGGGGGAGGGACTCCTCGTACTGTTCTTGGTGGCTAGCCTTTTAGCCTTTTAGTGTTTAGTGGTATTTTCCATTTAATCCACTAAAAGCGAGTCACTTTTCGCGGGATCTGAGGGCAGCCCAGTGTAGTACTCCAAAGCGATTCTACCTAAATCCAGGGTCGACCTTCACCCTTCAAGCTGCAGACCATCCATGCCCGCGCTGCTTTTGTGGAGACTCCTGGCAGTGCCACGTTGAAAAACCCAAGCCCGCGCCCCGGATTTGAAGGACATGCCCAGTGCAACTCAGCTCAAGTTTTCTGAGCCACTCATTGCAAAACACGCAGGGCCTTGTTTGAGCCTGTTTTCTGCTAGTGTATTAAGATCAACTAGTTTCTCAGGGTCTTATTCTAAGGGTCTAACTTCAACTAGTCTTCTCTTAGTGTATTAAGATCATATGAGACCCTGAGCAACTAGTTCAAAGTTGAAGTCTTCGAAGCACGTGGATCCGGATGCAATTTGATCTGCTAGATTGGACCGGGGACGACCCATTGAAATTCTGAAGTGGTAAATATGTCTCATTTTCCGGCACCAAAAAAACCAACTGGCGTCGTGATTCTGTGTGAAGCTTGCTGAACGGCAAGGCTCCCCATTTTTTAGATCCATCGATGGGTGGATTGTGCTTGATATGGCGGTGATTTGGCAGTGAGTATATCATGTCACCTCCCAAAATAGCCCATATCTAAGGATTTTCCTATGACATGTTGGGGGGGGAGAATCGATCTCCGTATAAAACTGGTTATTTCGAACTAGTCCGGGCGATAGGGTGCAATCCCACAGTAGCTTGGGGCAAACTGACTACATTTGTCACCTATCGGTCCAATGATAGCAGGTGGTATGAGGGGAATCCAGGAGCCCCGCGAGCGTTGGGAAAGAGCGAGCGCGCAACCTCAGAAGGTTCCTTGCGGTTCTCTTCTTTCAAGGCGATATGGGTGTGTCGTTTTTTTTTTTTTTTTTTGGGGGGGGGGCGTTGGGGTGGGTTAAGGGAAGCCAAAGGGAAACCCACCAAAGGAAGCTTCCTTGCAAGTTCTCTTGTCAAACTTGTTTCAAGTTGATATGGGGTCGTAATCCAACAAAAAACCCTGGTTGAGTTGGATCGGGGGTGTCCCCTTGGGATTCAGACCACTTCCCACCCCCCTAAAAGGCAAGGGACGGTTTCTAATTGAATCCCGGTCAACCAAAAACATGTCCAATCACTTTGTCCCCATCAAAATTCAGACATATGGAAACCAGAGAAAGCGGCATTCGCAGAGTTTTCCCTAGGGACCTCATGTTGCGTCTTCTTTTCCAGGTTGATCACCTTTTTCTGGGCTGTGCAGAAGAGTGTTGGCCAATCCGATGTTCAATCGCCCCGATTTAAAAACACCACCGCAAAGGGATCGCCCCTTTCGCAGCTAAAGGGTGAGGATAAGGAAGGGCTGTCGTTCAACAGCCCGAAATATGTTTTTCAAGATGTCGAACCCTCTCTTTGTTTTTCAGAAGGACCAAAAAGACACTTTGGATCTGGACTAGACTATACACGTGTTTCTTCTTCTTCATTTTTTTCCGAAGATCATTTTGGTAACCTGAAAGTTCCGACCTTTTCTTGCCAAATCCATGCGCTCGATCGATCGGCAGCGAGTCTAAGACGTTCGGATCCAGCCAGCTTCCCTTTCGCCGAGGCGCGGTGCTTTGGCGCTGCACAACTTGCCCTTGGACACCCCGGAGGCGAGCCTCTCCTGGGGTCGCTCCAAGGAAGGAATCCCCGAAGGCAGATGAATTTGAGGGGCTTACCCCCAAATATGGCAAAAAAAAACGCGGTGCAACGGCCAAAAACAAAAGGGTTTCTTTCTCCTGAAAGGAAAAGGTCCTGGAGCCTAGACTTGTGTGTGTCCGGAAACTAGTTTTCGGGAAGCCCGTGTTTGGGCTATCCCAGTGACAAGGCTTCCGAGCCAATTCCCTTTTTTGACCTGTGAAAGTGGAAAAACCCATCGTTTCAGTAGAAACCACCAGTAAATCGATCAACTTTTGGAGGCCCCAAGACATCCTCAAAGTTCATCCGTTTGTAGCTGCATTTGTACCCCCCGGTCCATAGCAACTGCTTTTTGGACACTGCTCGGGTTTTTGGACAGGGGAAAAAGGCAGTGGTTGGGACCCGGGAGCCGGTAACGGAAACTCATTTCTTTTTTCTTTTTATTTTGCGGACAGTCGTTGCTTTTTCTTTGCTTTCTTTCTTTCTTTTTTTTTTGGGGGGGGGCGGGCGAGCGGGATTTTGCATTATTTTTGTGTTTTTGGTTGGGCTCCCTGTGAACCTTGTTGCAGGTCCTTTCGACACTGGGGACATGGGGCTTCAAATGGCAAGTCGATCGGAGACCAGAAATTAAATGGCAGGTGAGCCTTGGTCTCAAAATGCCACTCCGAAAGGCTCAAAAGCTGCTGGGTGCCGGAGGCAGCTTCAAGGAGATGAGGAAGCAGGCGCGGGAGAGATGTGTTAAACTTGGAGGACCCTCAACAATTGGGGTTAGGTTCTCCCCTTAAACCGAACCCAAAAAGCGGTCTTCAAAAGAACGCGCACTCCCATGTGTGTCGATGCTTGCGCTGGATCCCTGACGGGATGTTTCAGGGACTCACCGAAGCAGCAGCCTGCTTCAGCTTGCCCCTAGCTGACTGTGCACTCTTCGGACGGATTGCTTTTTTGGTTGTTGTTTTGGACGGATCCTTTTGGTCCGGCTTCAAGGGGAAACCAGAAGGACGCCAGCTTTGCCTCCCCAGATCCTGACGCTTTCCCTTCAATCAGAGGGAATGTTTCGGGAACGGACGGGATTGGTTGACCATTTGGGGATTCATGATGAAAGGGACCCATAACATGGAGTCTACCAAGTTCTGGCCAAATTCATATTTGCCAATCATCAGCAGAAGCCCCGAAAGGCTGGGTCCTTTACGTCAAAAGGAGATTCCGTTGAAGCCAATGTTTTTGTTGCATGTTTGGCTGGTGCTTGGAACCCCCAATCCGCCAATTGGATGGTGTCGGACCTTTCGGACTTTTCACACCGCCTTGATGTTTCATCCTTCAGGGTGTCCGGGGGCGACTTGAAGGGGAAACCAGTAGATTGATCAACTTTTGAAATGGACATCCAGTGACCCCTGTCGTTTTCCCTTTCACTTTTTTTTTGAAGGACTTTCTGAGCCAGACCGGCTTTGAACGGAGACCTGTTTTGAACCCCCCCCCCCGACCCCACTCCCTGTTCACACAGGGGCGTCCCCGTTGCACGCCAGGAGGGGTCACTGTGCATCCGGCGCCTCAACAAGGCATCGAGCGCGGTGGGTTTGGGCTCAGGTTTGGGTATGGGTCAAAACTAAACCTCTAAGGGACCCCAGGTTTTAGTCCTTGGTTCCATTTTCCAGGGAAAGCCATATTTGGGTACCAATTTTTGACCCACAGCCGCATACAGTTGGAAACAGGTTTCAGATTGGCTTGGACAATCGTGCGAAACAGGGATCCGGATGCATTATACACCTGAACATTGCAACTTGTAAATGGTGGTTTCCAGCTTTATTTTGGTGTTGAAAAAGCCACATGTTTCAAATGGTTGCAACAGGGAGATTTTTTTTTGGAGCCCTGCGAAATGAGCCCCACTTTTTTTGGTCCATGCTCGGAATGTCCTGGGCCCATCTTTTCAAAGTGCCTATCCTCTCGGAAAAAACAGCAATGCCGCATAAGAAGACAGACAACTTAAATCGATTCGCTCCTACGTTTGCCGCAAGGTGTCAAATAGGCAACTAACCTTTTGGAGGGGTCGAATTTCCGCCCTGTTCGGTTGATTTGCCGAAAGGACACACGCGTTGCATTTGTTGAGCAGGTCTGATTCTGGGGAGGTTGCCAAACACGCCCACGTCATGTGGGTATGTGTCAAAACAGGGACCCCTAAAATGTTAGTTGTCCATTCACCCGAAAAGGGTCACACACCCCCTCCCCTCCCAATCATTGTTCCAAGGAACCCAAGGACAAGCCAAATCCATTTTTGGGGGCTCCCGTATTTGGAGACTCCAGTTAGGAACCCTCTTGGATTGCTTGCTTCTGGATTGGTCATCCCTTGACCCGAGAAGTCAATCCCTGTGGACTCATGTGGATGTGATTTTCATTGGGTCCCGGACCCTTTTGGCGGCATCAGAATTCGGTGGGGACTCATGATGAACAATCGCTTCTGAGGTGATTCCGAGCCCTTTTTAAGGTGGTTTCTCTTTTTCAAGAGGGGAAGTCTGAGGATATCACTTTAATGAACTTCACTATTGTTGGCATGTTTATTGCTTAAGGCTTTGTGTGCTGCCATACCGTTTGGGTTGGAAGGTGACGTACCAAAAAGTTGGGATACAGAAAAAGGACCCCCTAATTCTGACATGTGTGGTCCCCCATTGGTTTCGTTTCTGAATCTGAGAGGGGTCATGTTCTCACCCCTTCCCCAATCCAAACCAAGGGGCAACCGGTTTTCCCCGTCCGAAAGAGCGTCGAACTTCCTCCCTGTTTCCGGATCCAAGCTTTTGCCGCCCCCGTTTCAGGAGCTGGGGCTGGGGGAGAGCTACATCTCCCCGCGGCTGCTGCGGGGGGTGGTGCCTTCCGCCCTGCTGGAGAGCTACAGCTTTTGGGATGGCGAGGCTGAGACGTCGAATCCGCCCGTGGGGAGGTCGCCGTTGACAGATGTGGAGGCCAATGAAATAAAGAGATCGAAAAGCTCACTCCCTCTGGGTTCCGGAACTAAAAACTAAGCAACAAAAGCTCATTCCCATAGCCAGGTCCGGAGAGAAGCCCGGACTTGAGTTTTTTGTTGGCAGTTTTTGGGTCCGGAGAGACCATTTGAGTGGTACATGGACAGTTGGGTCACTTGTTTGGCCAATCCACTCAGGAAGTGGGAGGGCCCTAAAGCCCTCATGTCTCCCGGCGAGTTTTCCGGAAAGTGTCCCAGACAACTTCCCTAGCTGGCTTGAACCTCACTTGTTGGAATCTGGCTCCTTCTTTGTTTAGTTTTGCGGGGTGCTTGGCTAAGATCGCAGGTTCGGTTGTAGGTTGTCAGTTTTCCAGGGAAACCGGATGAACAAACCCGTCCTACTAATAGGTGATACGGATTCCGACTAAAAGGGGAACACGCCCGATCAAATCAACCAGGGATTCTGCATGGTGTAGAATGTTACGAGAATTGGGTTGCCCATGCAGAGATACTCGCAGGGGATCATAGCGGCACACCTCGTGCTTTCCGTGATTCGAGTTGCACGATTCTCTTCAGGGATGCTTTTCTTCAAAAAACGTGCAATGCCCCTGGGACAATAGGTGGTTTCTACAGAAGAACGATGGGTGAAGAGAATGGATTCGGAATCAACCCTTGGAGTGGTACTCTTGGAGGGGGATCAACAACTTCGATATCACACAAAAAGGTGTTTCATGTTCACCAAGCCATTTCCGGGTTGGAAATTCCAGACACTTGTGCGGAGTAGACCTTGCATAACTTGAGAGTTCTTCGATGGCCCAAACTGGGGTGGCCCAAAATGGAGGGCCCCTGCACAGGTCAGGTTGCAACACGCGAATCACCATGATTGACCAACCCAAAACGGGAAATTGACTTTGAACGTAAAATGGGTATGGGTCAACATAAAAGCCACTAGAGACAAGTTCTTCCCAGTTTCGCCGGGGAACCCCAAAATGGGGGTTACCCTATTTTTGACCCGCAGCCGGTGAAAACCAACCCACGAATTGGGCTGGTTTTTGGACCAGTGCAAAAAGGGGACCCGCTCAAAATGGCTTCGGTTCTCCTTTGGTTTCCCTTCAAACCAAGGTACCTCTCAACAAAAACACGCACCAAAAACGTGGGAATCGGTTTAAGATCGAATCGATTCTTGGCACTCCGCTTGAATCCTCACCTTGCCTTCGCGGGGAACTTGGGGGGTAAATGTAGCACCTCCAAGAGCCCACTCCGAGACTTGCTTCATTTTTGCACTCAGTGAGTATGGACCAAGATCTTACATGTTTTCGTTCTGGGCAAAGGCTGAGCTAGTATAACTCATCAACACCCTGGGATGCCATTCTTGCTTGGAAGCAGCCTGTCCTCCGTTTTTCCTGGCCGCAGCAGGATGGCATCATCCGGGGCGTGCCCAGCAATGTGCCTCAGCATGGAACTCACCAGAGGTCTGCTCTGGCCCCACAAATGCTATCTTCGGAGTATTGAAATAATGGGTGGCAAGCCTCTTTTAATAAGGACGGTTGGGAGGGTTCCCCTACTACAATAGACGTCCTGAAAAAGTTGGCACCCTTACTCTAACCGTCTACTGGAGGATGTAGATGGTCTTCGCGAACGTGTTTGGCCATCTCCAAGGCAACTTCCTAGATTGCCAGGTGGCTGCTTTTTTCAGTCACTGTTGCTGGTTGGGGTAAAGTGGATGGAAATAAGCAGCAACTGGCGATCCATTTTGTTGTTTGGGGCAGGGGGGCAAAAAAAGGGAGCCATGCCAAGAGACCATCCACATGCGTGTCTATGCTATTTCTAATATGTTTTTTGGGAAGCCCCTTTTGGTGGTTGGGTTTTAAGGGAAACCAACAGGACATCGAAGCCAGTTTGGTGGGTCCAACCTCCAAAACGACGAGACGCCCATGTCGCCATGTTCCGGATCACAAGCGCTAGCCATTTCTGTAAGGCAGGCGGTTTCTCTTAGGTTTGACACCCAAACAAAAAGATTCCGATTCCGAACCGAAAACTGGTCCGACAACTTGAGGTTTCCAACTGTTTTTGTCATGGCCCCAACAGGTGAACCCTTTATTGCTGTGTTCTTTGGGCCGCTGATGATACCTGTTCGGCCTTTTGGGGCACACCTAGACTGCTGTACTTGCCGCACACCACTCCGCAGCCAAGCAACGCCCGGAGTTCAGATGATACAGTACTTGTTCGGCCTGGCACGCCTAGATTGATGTACTTGCCACACACCAAAAGGGCGTTCACAGCTCCAAGCCGGCAAAAACAAACCCGACCTACTGCGCCAAGCGCGCCCCCTTTTTTTTTTGGCGCCTAGGAGCACTCCAGCTACTTCGCCAAGAAGCTCTTGGTGGAGCTCGAAGGTGGGAGGGCTGTTGGGCTGTTGGGCTGTTGTTGTTCGTGGAGAAAACCGGGCGGGGTTTTAGGTGGTCATGTTCTGTGATACCACGGGGAATTCACCTGAACGTGACGAAGTGGTCAACTTGAGGGCTCATAATTGTTCGTTGAACAACCCGGGGTTTTAGGTGGTCATGTTCTGTGAAGGGGCTCATAATTGCTCGGGAAAAAAAAGCGGGGTTTTAGGTGGTCATGTTCTGTGATAGCACGGGTGATTCACCTGAACATGACGAAGTGGTCAACTTGAGGGCTCAGAATTGTTAGTTGAAAAACCCGGGTTTCAGGTGGTCATGTTCTGTGATACCAAGGGGGAGTTCTGTGTTTTAGGTATCCACCTGAACATGACGAAGTGGTCAACTTGAGGGCTCATAATTGTTCAGAGAAACCGGGTTTTAGGTGGTCATGTTCTGTGATAGCAAGGGGGATCCGCCTGAACATGACGAAGTTGTCGACTTCGATGGGAATAAAACGTTTGGTATCAAAGGAAGGGTCATTTCCTCGTAGTCACGGTTGGGTTGGCCTTTTTGACACTAGGTGCTCAGCACTTCCCTCTTCCCATGTTGATTCGGAAAATTTGCTAAAAGATCACCCCCCGAATAATGGTTCCATTTGTCCACTATTGCAGGTAGGTAGCTAGGCCCGTTGTTCTTTGGGTGGGGAGCTTCTCTTATGACATGGGGATCGAATTGGCTTTCCAACAGCCCATTAGGTGTCTCACCCCGGCGGGTTAGTGAAAAATCGCAGACAGAGACGAGCATTTGAATTTCAGATATGTTCTGGAGAGTTTGGAGAGACATGACTACCCTCCAAGCAAAGGACCCTGAAAGGTCCTGGAGGAAGCTTAAGCCAGAGAGGCGACTCAGGACCCTTCAGACATTTTGTTTTCTCCGTTGAGCATCACTCCAAAAGCAAGCTAGCTGAAAGCTCACGTTTTCGGTGTTCGATCTCGAAAGGTGAATGTTTTTTAAAGCCACCAAAGGAGCAACGTGGGAGTTCTTTCAGCCAGGCTCAGGGTTCGATGAATGATTGCCGCGGGGAATGGATCGAGTACATGCCGTAACCAAAAGAACTTTGCTGGTTTTGGAGAAGGCACATCTGGCAAGTCTTCCAACACTAGGTCCCGCAGTAGTGCCCTGTCACCCTGTTTTGGGGGAGGGTTCCCCTACTAAAAAAGACTACAGGAAAAAGGGTATACCCTCATTCTAACCTCTCTACTAAAGGCCTAGAATAACTTGCCTGGTTCTCAATGAATGAGTGAATGACCCGAATTGAAGGTCTCACCATCATGGTGGATCCCTGAAAGAGGGACCCCGAAGTTTCCGGATCCGAGAGCCAGCAAGTTGCTCCCCAGTTTAACATACCCCGCAGCCAAATCCGAGGATCGGAAAGTCTCCTTGTCTCCTGTCAGGGGCACCCTCGGTCCAGAGTGCGGACCAACATCGCAGCCCAAAATCTGGGGCAACATCCCCTGTTTCAGCTTATCCCCCCCCCCACCCCCCCCTCCCCCCCCACACATTTGGCTGTGGCTCAAAAAGATGCACCAAAATGGCACCTTGCTAAATGGAACCAAAGACTAAAACCCGCGGTTTGCCCTGGCTCTTCAATTTTGCGCCACACCCATTTGCTGACGTTTGACCCCCCCGTTTTTTCCGGCTCAACGCCCACCCCCCCCCCCCACCTAGCCCAAGGCGAGAAGTTCCGCGTGCGGCGGCTGGCCGGCGCCTTCCCGGCGCTGCGCCGGGAGCAGCGGCGCAGCACGCTGGCGCGGCCCGCGCGGAGCGCGAAGCCGCAGTCCAAGGTCCAGGCGGGCGAGCGTCGGGAGTCGGGTGGAAGGAGCCGGGCCTTTGGCGCCTTGATCTTCCAAGGGGCCCTGGGCCAGATCTCCCCCTTTTGCCAGCCGATGCCAGCCTAGGCCAGTTTTTCAGCGTCACTTTCTGGAACAACAAGTTATTTCACCCAGGGGCACCCCCCCATATTAATAAGCTGGTTGGTTTCTTTACATCTGGGGTCAACATGCATCATGAAAATCCAAAAGGAAGCGGTGAGGCTATAAAATGGGGCCCAGCCCTCATTGCCGTCCAAGTCGTCTCAATCAGGAGGTTTCTTTTCATTTGGGGTTCAACATTATGAAGCCCATGGGCCATACATGAATATAGATGAATTATTGGATTGCAAAGGGAATCCAAAAGGACACGAGTCATTAACAAACATTCGGAAGCCCACGTCCCAATGGCCCATGTATACCTTTCCCCCTCCCCCCCTCCCCTCCCTCTGCCACCTCTGCCACCTCTGCCACCTCCCCCCCCCCCGGAAAAGGCCCCGTCCCAGTCGTCCGAGGAGGCGGAGGTGCGGCAGCTCTCCGAGCTGGGCTTCCCCATGGCCGCCTGCCGCCTCGCGCTGGAGACCTGCGGCGACGCCGGGCGCGCCGCCGAGTGGCTCTTCGACGAAGGCGGTGGCGCAAGCGAGACGGGACGCGGCGAGGGACGGGGCGCGGGGGGCGCGGGGGAAAACCGTGGGCGGGGTGGGACTCGTGTTGTTGGTTTGTTGGGGGGGGGTGCCGGTTTCTAGGGGGGCTTTCTCGAAATTGGGGGGGGGGGGGGGATGGGGGATATATATATATATATATGTATATGTATATACATGTATATATATATATACATATATATAACATATGTATATATGTATATATATACATATATATATATATGTATATACATATATATATGTATATATATATATATGTTTTTGGAGGTGGATCCTTTTTGGTGTTTTTTTGGGTATTATTTAAATAGAGGACACGAACGTGACCAGCCATAGGGGGTAGGTTTGTGGCCCAGCGCCATCTAGTTGGCTCATGGGCTACAACTCGAGTTGGGTCATGTCTTTCTTTGAGTCGGTCTGCGCTTTGGTGGTTTAACTCGAGTTGGGTCATGTCTTTCTTTGAGTCGGTCTGCGCTTTGGTGGTTTAAGGGGACACCAAAAGGATCACCGACATCAAATCTTGCAGATCCAAGAAACACATGCCCCCGATTGGGAGTTGATGGCCAGCGCTTCTCTTACCAGGGAAGCGTCAAGGCGGCACCAAAGCGAATCAGAAGGAAGGCCTTGGCGGCTCCCAGCCATCCGGACCCTTTGCTTTTTCGCTTTTTTAGTGTTTAGTGGGTTGGGTGTCCATTCAACCCACTGAAAGTATATAAGTCGCTTTTAGCAGGGGATCAGAACACCGACAGCACAGAAACCAAAGGAACGCAACAGTCGGGCGTGGGAGGCAACACCGGCGCCATCTTTGCGGCGGTTGAGACAGAAGCGGATGGCCAGGACGCGGTTGGGATGGATGAAGCCGATCTTCGGGCGAGCTCACCAACTGATTCGGGGGTTTTCACGAGCGAAAACCATGAGAAAGGTCCTTTGCTTCCAAGGCTTAGTTCAGGTTGTGGAATCACAATACAATTCACGGATGGATGAAGCCCTGTAATTTGTTTGGAGTAAACGACTTAATACTTATATACAGCTGGTGCAATGTTTTTTCCACTCAGAGCAGGGGCCAAGGAGAAACTAATGTTTACTCAATCATGACTAATCTAGGTTTTAACATACCCCACAACCCTGCCGGCAAAGGCCTGTAACTTTCAACCCTGATTAATACCCCCCTCTTGCTGTGCAGAGGGCTCCCTTTTCAGACGAGATTCCTCCCTGATCCCGCGATAAATACCATTGGGGAGGGGTATACATCAGGGCTCAACATTGTTGAACATGATTGTTGAACATGTTTCCTCTCCTCCAAAAGACCCCTGAAAACAATACCTCTGGAGGGGCAATAAATCAGGGCTCAACGTTGTTGAGCATCGCTGTGGAGCGTTCGGCTTTAGGTTTGGGGATAAACAACAACGCGAAGCGAAGAAGGCGACCGCCCCATCTCCGTGAGGAGATGGCCGTAGTTCCCGCCGAGGAGGTGCGGAGAGGGCGAAGGGGGGAGGAGGGTGCAGCGCCGTTGGTGGTGGGAGGGTCAACATCAGAAGGAGAAATGGCCATGGGTCAAAAGCCAGCACCCCCCAATGAACATCCCAATCCAACCACTAAAATCGACTAAAATGGGTGGTGAATTCACCTACCAACCAAAATGGTACCATCTGTTTAGATCCACAGACAAATCCCCCAGTTTCCGCGGAGAGCCTCTAAATGAAGACAGACCGCAAGCCGGCAGAATGCAGGCAAACTAGAAGGCAGGTGGCCGAGCAAAAATTGGGCGAGTCAAGAGCAGGATGCGAGGTGTTTACGAGGACAAGCTGGCCCGGTGTGCAAAGCAGCAGTCAGTGCTGCAGAAAGGTTAAGAACTCCTGGTACCGAGAAACCGGGTTTGCGGTTTACATGGCTTGCTGCTTATTTGTAGGGTACCCTTCCTCCAACTAACATGGCACTTGTAGGGAGGTACCTGGAGTCAGTTGCCATGTTCGTGGGAGGGAGGGTACCCTTAGGGAGTGCTTCAAGGGACGCCCACAGCCAACCTCCTGTGCGGGGGGTGCCGTCCAGGGGCCCAGCGCCATGGAGCTGGACGAGCCTGCGAGCACCGAGGCGGAGGGCTTGGGAATCGAGCGCTTGCAGGACCTCCGGTCCTGGAAACATTTTGACGGGCTTCCCTTGAAACCAAGGTCAGACAGAGGTACCCCGTCTTTTTCTAGCCTTGCAAAACACATAGGGTCAAACAAAGGTACCCTGCTTTTGCTTGTGCCTCTGGAGTTCTAGGATAGTTCTTGGATGGCCGTCATGGTCCTTGCATGAGAGCAGAGGTTGCTTAAGACAACCTGCCCTCGCCGCCTGACTGTTGGGGACAGACAACCCAGTGACGCAGCACTATGACCAAGCAGTTTTAAACATGACATGAGCCACAATCAAAACCCGGGTAGATGAAGGTTAGTAAGGGGCAGTCCCAGCCAGAAATAGTTGGACCATTTCAATCCCGGGTTTGGATTGTGACGCACATGCAGCTTCACCACGAGCAATTCCACGCATGCAGGTCTCGCTTAGAGCAAGTCGGGGTTCCTCAGTGCAGGATGGTGAATGATAGTCATTGGTGCAGGTTTATGTGGCACCAGTTCCCTGGAAAGCGCTTGACTTTGAAAGTTGATGGCCGGCTTCAGCTTGGTTCTACTGGTTCTGCTCGTTGACCTGTGACATGTGTGAGGGACTCCCACCCTTGAGCCCCCGTCAAGCCTCCAGAGGCCTGGAGCTTGCTGGACCTGCTTTCTGCAGCCGAAGGCTTCGACATCCCACACGACGTCGTTTTTGAGTTTCTCTTTTTTTTCTTCTTCTTTTTTTGTTTTCTTTCTCCGTTGCTACTTGGGTATTCAATTCACCAAGGGAAATCCGACCTTCGATGGTGAGGCTTCCGCCCCAGGTGATTTCGAGCAGTCAAGCACAACAGAGATATTTCCACCATGCGGCAAGGAATGCAGCTGAAACACATGCTCGAACATGGGTTAGTCTTTCACACCTTGAATGTCGGGCAACCAACTCTTGCCTGTTTACTGGGCAAGCTTTGTGCTTTCTGTTGACAGGTTTCTTTATCTTTTTTGGTAAGGGTCTCAACCTCTAACTTGGTGTAGGCAGATGGCTTGAATTATGAACGGGCCAAACAAGTTTGACTTTTTCTGGCCAGCTGAGCAGGTCAGAACTGGTCGGACCTTCCTTCTGAGTATGGTGTTTCAGGGAAACGCCGGGTCCGCCTAGTTTAGGAAAGGATCCTTGCTTGGCCGGGCTTGCCCTTTGTCCAGTGTGTGTTGAAGGTCGGGCCGTAAAAGCCTTGTAACATTGTCCAGCGAATAGTTGCGTTTGCTTAAGGCTTGGCACTGCTGAACGGGTTTTGGCACTACCTGACATCCGATCGCCTTGAGACCAGCTTGTGAGCTGGTTTCACCATCTGATAACGGAGTCTCACCATCATCTTCTTCGTGCTGGAAACAGTCATCAGGCGACTTCAGGCACACGTTCGCAAATTGGGGGGGGCGGGTTTGAGGGTACCCTTTAAAGGGTTGCTGTTTCGGGTCCCCCTGTTTTGACAAGTACACAAACGTAAATTGGGAATCCGTTCAACGGTGATGTTTCAAAGGGTGACACAGCTGTGCGAGTCGGACCCTTGTGGCGACCAACATCAGACCAACCTGTTCTTGCCAGGAGATAGAATTGTGACTGACTCATTATATATATATATATAACTGAGTGCCATTTGCACAGTTTATGGTTGTGAATGTTATTGTGTGTGCTTTTTCATGATGTGTGTTGTTTTCTTCGCCCCCAACATTCGGGTGCAGGCTCCGAGTTGGCTGGGTTGACCGAGCTGCTGGTGCGAGTGGAGGACGAGTTTTACAGTTCTCGTGGGCGTTCCGCGTTCCGCGTTCCGAGCGTTACGGGAATTTTATTTTCGATGTCAACAGGTACCTTCCCGCCAAACATAAGTCCGACTGCCCTTTGACAAGCTCTTTTTGGAAAGGGGTCTGATTATATTCAACCCCCCACTTGTTATTGAGGAGTCCCTTTTGGTGGGGATTGCTTTCTTAGAGCAAATGCCCCTGATTAAACAAATTAGTCTGTGGTCTACTAGGCCCCTTGCCACCCCCTTCGAGAGGGCGGTGGTTAATTCACGCCGATCGTCGAAGCTAAAGTTCGGCGAGTGCCGTTCCCGTGCCGTTCCCGCAGCGAATGCCAGCATTTTTTTCCACTGTTTGTTTACTTGTTTGGCCCTTCTTTTTGTTGCTAAATTATGAGCCCACGTATCCAGGATGATAGTTCAACCCAAATAAGGAGTCGTGACTTCCATTTTGTGACTTCCATTTTGTGAACTGTTGCGATATTTTTGACTGGGAAAACGAACACGGGTGCCCTGGGATCAAGCGAACCATCCCGCCCCCTACAGATGCATTCGGACCCCTTCTGCACCTATCTACATCCTTCTCCAATCCCAAGTGCATGTTGTGGGCGGTCAAGCGAACATGAAGCCTATTGATTGAAGCGACAGTGAAAGCAAGAGACGTCATGTTAGTCTAACATTCCCCATGATGAGCTTGTCAAATGGCTGTGGCTCAAAAACATGTACCAAACTGGAACCTTGGTATATAGACAAAACCTAAAACCTGCGTAACCCCCAGCTGTTTAATTTTGAGCCACTGCAGACGACTGCAGATTTCAGGCAATGCTTTGCTTTTCTTTTCGAGGCCGTATGCCGCGGGACATGGGTCCTCAACAGATCGGTGTTCCGATTTTCTTCTTGCGGTCAATCAGCCCACCCCTCTCTAGCTCTGATCTGATGGCAAATGACCGTGCCAGGAAAGTCGGGTACAAATGGACTGGCAAAGCATAGCATAGCAACATAGGGGACATAGACATAAGCAAGGTCTCCGTAAGTACTCGGGAACGCTGGTATTTTACTTCCATCTCTAATTCTTCCCCCACATTTTTTCCCATGCCCAGAACACCCGATCCAAACGGTTTTCGGAACCTCTCGGGTTCCACGCTGATCCGGGGTCGTCGCTTCTGAGTCCGTTCCCCCGCCCTTTGCCACCGAGAGAACTCGAGGACCTTTCGCACATCCTCGCTTGGGCGCAAGAGGAGGGTGCTCTGGCGGATCGGACGTTGGAGGGGGGAAATCTTGAAACTACCATTTATATATATACATGGACTCACGTAGCGGGTATAAAGAGTAAAGCACTTGTCTGCCGCAGCCACGTCAGTTTAAGGTGTGGCGTAGTTGGATGGGGGAGCAGCCGTGCCCACTGTGTGAAGGTCGGTACGGGACCTTCCGGTGGTGCACGGTGTGTAGCTCCCTGGAACAGCTCCGTTTCGCTGTCCTCCGTGGGTTTGAGCGGGAGGACAGCGAGGAGCTTGGGAGGAGAATCAGGGATTTCTCCTCGACCCTCCTGTCTTGGGGCGCTCGGCTCCAGAGGCAGCGGGAGGGTCGCACTTTCGATCAGGTCAAAGCCGGTGGTGCTGGACCTTCTGTGCCCGCTGGGCTAGGGACTCTTAGGCCGGCTCAGCCCCCTCCGGCAGGAGGGGATCTGGAGGGGACGCACTCGGCGTCCTCTCCTGCTACCACCTCCAAGGCCGCTCCGGAGGTGCGAAGAGTTTCCCGCACGCCAGAAAGGCGGAGGAGAAAAGAGAGCAAGAGGAGCCGCAGCTCCAGGAGGAGGAAAAGCCCGGAAAGGGCTAGGCATCGCAGGAGAGAGGCTTCTGCGTCACCTCTATGAGCGCCCGTGCCTCCCAGGGATCCCCCTCCCCCTGCTCCTAGGCCCCGTTCCCCTGCGGAATTGCCTGAGGAGGTTCCGGAGTTGGGTGCCAGGAGGAGGGAGGCGAACGAGGTATCCCTCACTGAGTCAGAGGGTGAGGATAGCCCTGAAGTGGCTGCATCTCCTGTTCCTGAGGAGTCGGGAGTTGGCCGTGATTGGGTTGGGCCCATTCCGGCAGGTCGGAGGCCCCGGGCAGTAGCCCCTTGGAAAGGGGGAAAGAACAAAGGCAAAAAGGCAGGCCCGATTTCGGGGCCGTTGAGGGAGGCTGGAGTAATGCCTCCTAAGAATGTGAGGAGGCCCGCAGCAGGTTTGCCGCCGGTGAGGCGACCTGCTGGGATTCTGAGGAGACCGGCTGCTGCTGTGATAGAGAATGGGGAGAACTCCTAGGCGCCGTCGCCGTGTGGGAGGAGGAGAAGAACTGGTGCTGGCCGAGCTCGATATGGTCGGCCTGGGGAAGTTGCAGAGGATCTGGCTGGATCCATGCGTTTACTGGATGGAAGAAACTTCTGTTGTGGGAGTAGTCAAGGGTGCCCGCATTGAGGGGTCCAGTGCTTATTTGGACCTCTTGGTGGAGGGGACCCGATCCGGAAGACTCCTGGAGTATGTCTCAGGCACTCCCGAGGACCGCATTAGGCTGCATGTGTGTCCGCCGGAGTGCGAGCAAGAGCTTTGCGAGGACATGGTCGTGTGTTTCGCGAAGTTCCAGGTGTGCCCACTGAGGCGTGGATGTCGAATGCGTGCAGGGTGGAGCCCGACGAGAATCGTGCTCTTTGTGAAGAAGCAGAGAAGCTTTCAAATGCAGGAGCGGCGGGAGCTCATGCTCCTGATGAGAACTCCTATGAGCCCGAGGCGGGGGACTTGGAGGCGGATCGGAAGAAAAGGAAGGAGGCGAAGGAGAAGAGAGGAAAGAAAAAGAAGAAGAGGGTTGTGCTTGAAGGTAAGAAGGCGTTGAAAGATGTGGTGGGGTCCACGGGATTGGACCCGGACCCTGAGGTGAGGAAAATCTTGTTGAAGCGAGCATCCCGGGCAGTAAGGAAGAAGAGGAAGAGGTCAGATGATAGCTCGGGGAGGGCCTCATCGTCCTCGAAGTCTGAAGAGGAGCCTGAGGAGCTGTTCGGATGCAGCACGAGGCCCGAAGAGGTGGGCCGCCGCTTCCCAGGCGTGTTGGCGGCTGAAGGAATCAGGGAGATGCGAGCCAGCCTCCTGAAGAACACGGGGCAGTTGTGGGATTTGGAGGATGGCCCACTTCCTCCTCTGAGCACCATGTACTTCAGGCAGACCTTAATGTCGAAGATGGCACCTCCGATGGCTCGGGAGACCCACACCCTGTGCTACGGGTTGGATCTCCTGTTGCAAGGCCGGGCTGCAGAGCTAGGCGACCTTTTGGTGCAAAGGATGAAGAGCCTGGAAGGCGTTGCTGCTGGTCTTCACTATTCGGTGATGCAGAAGATGGAGCTCCTGCCCATGGATGCATCCCGTGTGGCGCGCTATACCGAGGTGCATGATGCGGCTAGGGTAGCACGTGATGAGGCCCGAGCTTTGTCTGCTGGCTCCCGGGCACAAGGAAGAGGAGGTTCAGATTCCGGTTGGGTGCCGTATGGGCCGCGAGGCAGAGATGAGAAAGGTGGTGGAAAAGGAAAAGGTGAGAAGGGGAAGGATAAGGGTCGTGCAAAAGATTGGCCCAGGAAGAAGGAGGAGAAGAAGTGATGAAGAGGAGGCATTCGGGAGAGGGCTCCGCGTTGGAGATCTCTCCTGGGGGGAGCCGGGGAGGCGGTCGACCGTGAAGGTCCCCCTCCTGGGCGCCCTCTGGCCGTGCAAGAGCGGCTGAACGCTATCAAGCTGAGGCCCCCGGGGTTATCCCTTTGAATAGAATCTGCCGAAGTGTTTCCGGTGACGTTGGTACGTTGCCCCAAATTTCGGGGATGTCCGCCTTTGTGTTGGAGGGGTCCGAAGTGGCCCTCCTGTCGTCTGAGGACATCAGATGCTTTTTCTATCTTTTCCAGGTTCCCCCCGCGTGGAAAAGATTCCTGGGGTTCAACAAGGCTGTCCCAGAGGACCTCGTTCCCTCCTCCCTTACTGGGAGGAAGTGCGTTCTTGCCGCCAAGGTCCTCCCTATGGGGTTCCTTAACAGTGTTAGCATCGCCCAGCATGTGCACCGTAACGTGATTAGGAGCGTGGACCCCCTCCTTTTGACGGGAGATCAAGAGATCCGCAAAGACAAGAGTTTCCCTGCGAGCTCCCGCCTTTTTAGGATCTACCTCGACAACTTCGATTTCATCCAGAAAGTGGACTCCCAGTTGGCCTTCAGGCTGGAGGGGAGGGAGAGCCCGGAACAGGAGGCTGTCAGGAAGGCCTACGAGTCGGCCTGTCTGCCTCGGCGTCCCAAGAAAAGTGTGGTTAGTGCTGAAAGGGCAGAGGTGCAGGGCGCTGTCGTCAGAGGCAAAGAAGGAGTGGCTTATCCCCGCCCGGAGAAAGTACTTAAGTACATGGGTCTAGCGGTGGAGCTGATTGTGTGGGGCCGAGCTGGCCTCAAGCATCTGCAAGTGGTCGCAGGAGGGCTGGTGTACATTGCTATGTTCAGGCGCCCGCTGTTTTGTGCCCTCAATTGCGTGTGGCGTCACATTGAGGTTCTGAAGCAGGGAGGTGGCAAGCCTCAGCTTCTACCTCCTGCCGTGGTGGCCGAGCTGGTGCGTTTCTTGTGTTTGGTCCCTCTGGCACAACTGGACTTCCGAGGGGAGTTGGTGGGAGATGTCACTGCAAGTGATGCGTCCACCACTGGTGGGGGTATCTGCGTCACGGAAGGCCTCACGAGTTATGGGGTTCATGCCTCCCAGGCCAGTATCCGGGGGGAATGGCCTGAACCCCATGATATGTGTCAGGTGTTGACTGTAGGCCTTTTTGATGGCCTTGGAGCTCTTCGCTTGGCTTGTGATGCGCTTGGCTTGCCTATGTGTGGGCACATTTCCGTTGAATCACATGCCCCGGCCCGCAGGGTTGTCGAAAGTTTCTTCCCAGGTACCGTGATGTGGGATGATGTCCGCACTGTAACTGAAGAAGTCGTTCTGCAGTGGTCAACCCAGTTCTCCTCGGCAGGAGTAGTGCTCATAGGAGCCGGACCCCCTTGCCAGGGGGTCTCCAAGCTGAACGCGGACAAGAAGGGTGCTTTGAAAGATGCACGAAGCTAGCTCTTTGCAGAGGTGCCCCGGATTACCGCGCTGATCCGCCGATGTTTCCCCTGGTGCCAGGTGAAGTTCCTCATGGAAAGTGTTGCATCCATGGACGACTGTGACCGGCATCACATGAGTGAGGCCATAGGATTTGGGCCCTGGCATGTTGATAGTGGTCAGGTCAGTCCTTGCTGGCGTCCTAGGCTGTACTGGGTCGATTGGGAGCTGGGTGGTGGCGAAGGAGTTTCAAAGCCGAGACCGCCTGGGGCTCCTGGCAAAGATGTCGGCCTGGTAAGCTTAAGCGCTACTGTGGACTGGAAAGACTTTTTAAAGGGAGGTTGGAGGCCGCCTCCGAGTGGAGTGTTTCCTACCTTCACCACTAGCCGGCCTTCCCCCACGCCTGGCCGCAAGCCTGCTGGGTTAGGAACATGCCAGCCACATGAGCGGGCCCGGTGGGAAGCTGACCGTCACAGATTTCCGCCGTACCAGTACAAGGACAAGTTTTGTGTGTGGAACAAGCAGGGCGACATCCGTCCTCCTGACATCGAAGAACGGGAGGTGGCCATGGGGTTCCCTTTGGGGTACACCAAGGCCTGCATGCCCAAGTCGCAACATGGCAACATCCAGTTCGAGGATTGTCGGCTTAGTCTAGTGGGCAATTCGTGGAACCTCTTCGTGATCACCTGGTTGGTATACTGGCTGTTCTTCCCGTTGGGACTGTGTGCACCGCGGTCTTTGCAGGACATCGTGAAGAGCCTCACGCCCGGATGGTCTCCTACTTTCCAGGGAGTACTACTGCGGCCCCCTTTGAGGGCTGTCAGGGGCACCAAAGTTGATGCATCGTTGCAACTCGTAAAGAAGTTCCTTGGGGTCATTTCTATAAAAGGGGAAGATCTGCTGCTTCAGGCTTCTACCGATGTCCATGTCCGGTTCCACAGGTTGCGAGCATCTATCCCCAGCAGATTGTGGCGGTGGAAAACTGTGGCGGGATGGACTTGGAAATCACATACGGACCACATCAACGTTTTGGAATTGCGCGCCATCCTGAGCTCGGTCAAGTGGCGCCTCGAGCAGCGTGGACAGATGCACAAGAGGTGGATCCATCTCACTGACTCTCTGGTTTGCCTGCACAGCCTTTGTCGTGGCCGCACGTCGAGCCGCAA